CAAATGTGGTATGAAAGTGTGGTTCACAACCATGGCTATTAATTTGCATATTTTGAATTTGAGGGAATTTGAAGAGGCATTTTCACAGGGGACAGTATTTCTATAATATTCTTCCATACTTACCATGTAGATAGAAAAAATGAAAAAAATCAAACGTTCTTTGAATTCACCTCTCGCAGAAGTGAACCTTCCCTTTAAAGGCTTCATACAGGAAACTGTTCTGGGTAGCTTGTGTGAATCCGGACTTCCCCTTTTCATGTCAAGTGATAGGGACGTATGGGGGTATGACCACACCCTAAAGGGAGATCATATTATGAGCATGTTATGAGCAATTCAGTCTCAAGGTTCAGCCCTAAAACCCTGTGCACAATCGGGAAATATAGTCTTTGTAGACAGGTTGCTTTAGTACATGTTTCAATGAGAAACCATTTTCCAAGGGAAACAACAAATTTGTTTTTTGTAGACAGGTGGTCACTATTAGGTTTGACTGTAGTAGGTACTGTAACCTGTAAAGGATATGTGTGGGAACTAGGAAGAAACTAAGAAAGAGGAAGGAGGTGACAAATATGATTGCACTTGGCAAAGCATGTGTACATTAATACTCAGGTACGAAACCAAACAAATCAATGCCATCGACAGTAATTGGTTGACATGTAGATAGGAGCTTGTGTTTCGCTGATCTATACTGAGAGATAGCTCTGTAAAACAGAGAGATTGCTTATTTATTAAAAGCATGAAAATGATCGGAGTTGAAATATGATAAAGTGTTTTTATGTGTGCAATTACTTGCTTGTAAATTAAAATTAGTAGTTTTATTAAACAGACTTTATTTTAAATTCAAGTTCAAGTTTCAAGCTCAACTTTTATTTGTTCCACATTTTACAGAAAATATAAACATATATATAAAATGAAAAACATATACAATATAATTGTAGTATAAATGAGCACATATCAATAATTCTCAATTCATATATGTGAGGAACCTATTAAAAAGCAATGTTTGTATAAATTGAGAGCATGTGTTGTATAACTTGCTGTTTTGAATAAAGTCTGTCTTTGGAGACTACTCATTATTCAAAGGCGGAATACAAACAATGTCTGTTTGAATGACCCAACAGCTCTATATACAGGTCAAACGGTTGACAAGTATTTTGTTTGACTACCTTTATCATTCGATTTACATGTTTGTTCAAGATGATGACTGGACACTAAAGAATAAATGCAATTTCCATGCTTGAATTTCTTTTATTTTAGCGTTTTCTGTTATTATGAGTATGATTTGTGGATATATGCACAATCTTAAGCTCTAGGAAACTGTTGTTTTGCAGAAGTCATACCGATACCAGAATATTTATCATGTACAGGTATGCAGCGAATGATTTTATTTGAACCAGCAAAATGTTAACCTGGAAGAGGACTTAAAGCCCCACCGCACTACTTATACTTGTAGCTACTTGCGCCCTCTATATAGCAAACAATGCCTAATCGGTGCCTATTGGTCCCCATGATCCTCTTTTTCTTATGTTAATTGAGAACTGATTTAATGGGATAACCACCTGTCAGTGACCTTACAGGTAGATGTAATGCCCCTGGCCAAACTAGTGCAGACGGGCTTTAAGTCACCTGGTCGCTTGCTTGGAGCATGCACATGCTTTCTTAGCAGTCAAACAAACAAACCAATTGTTGTAACTACAAAATGTGAACAAACTTTTACACAAGTTGCAGTGATGTTTCCTTTCACTGCAAAATAACATGCAACTGTGGTCTATCACCAGACTCTATATGTGTTATAATTCAGATATTAAAGGTAAAGACCAGTATTGGAAACGCCCCAATTTCAAAAAATGAAATGGAAGCTCTCATTACCAATCATGTGAAAGAATATGTTTTGACTAATACATGATGATAACAAATTTGCCGGGAAACCGCCTACTAATTCATATATTCGGTAAATTTGTTTCTCTCATGGTCTGTGAGATATATAGGGTCGTCCCATATACATCTTTCTGTGTATAGTGCTTGTAACTTTACGAAGAATGGGCCAAATTTCTTATCATTTTGATGATTCCAGAACCTCGCAGATGCTAGATGCTAGATGATCAACCTTTTCTGATCGATTCCACAACGTTTCTTTCACAATGCAATCGCATGACCATAACCGGTCTTTACCTTTAAACTGTTTTTCTTGTTTTGTATTTCACTTCATTTTTGAAGTGTTACATATTTTTATCAATACTGTAGGGTATATATTTGTGGCTTAGAAATTAATTACCAATTTTTTTGCATATTTCAGAGAAATTCATCATCCCTGAAATTAAGATTACGGTACCTTCAAAAGCATCTATAGGAATTTAGGAAATGAAAATGAAAAATGCTAAGTAATTAAATAGTAAACAAAGCAACTTCTTCTGGTATTGCAGATTGAACTTTAACCCCATTTAATCAGAGCATTCATTTCTGTATTATGAAATGCTCATCCATCCATCCTTTTAAATGAATAAAAATCCTAAGAGAACAGGCGTAAATATCCACTTCTGAATGACAAACGCCTATAAACTAAAACAACAACAACAATATTGAATGAAAACTGTCCCTGGAAGAGAATCATCAAGTTGAATTGAAGAGCCCCAATCTTTGACTAGTTTGCAAAACATCAAGTCATAAAACCGTCATAATACAATGATGAGGATTTCAGTTGGAAATGATAAATACAGACCTAATTGAATATGTTTGGATGTGACCCAGATTCCAGAGCTAGAGTTTATTGTTCTCATTGTTTGTGAAATCAGAAGGATATACGTGTATAGCATGATATTCAGAATGGTCGGATGAGCATTTTATAATACAGAAATGAATGCTCTGATTAAACGGGGTTAAAGTTCAATCTGCAATGCCAGAAGAAGTTGCTTTGCTTACTATTTAATTACTCAGCATTTTTCATTTTTATTTCCTACAGTGCTGACTTCCAATATGTGTAGCTGTATTGTATGTATGGTATTCAAATGACAATGGGTGTCTGGAAAACAGTCAAAACAAAATCTAAACTGAAAAGAAGTTCTGAGATTAGCAAATACATCTTGTAGCTTAAAGTGACTCAGTAACATTGCCTCAAATTCTGAAACAAAATCCTGGATTTAGCTCATGCTGCAATGATAATTATAAATCTTTAGGTCAGTCAGTAATCCCAGGACTTCGCCTTTCTGATTATCAAGATATTTATGATTGGAAATCGAAATCAAATTTTGCGTTTGCCACACGGTTTTCATACACTACAGTCTATTGGGGAAAACGAGTATGGTAAAACCAGTCACTCAAAGATTTTTACTTTTTTGAGGCACTTCATGATCATTTTGAAGCGCAATTTTTTAGGGCTTCAATATTACACCATATCACAGACACTGATAACACGTAGGGCCGTGCATCTCAGATTTAACATTGTTAAACGATCCCTTTAATGTCAAGAGCTGTTGAGACTCTGAAGTGTTCATGCTATGTTTGTAGGCCTACATGATCTACTTTCTGTTTCTCTACAATCTGATGTGACAAATAAATATCAAACCCTCTCTGCTGTCATCATTACAGTTAAATACAAAACTTGTGTTTGATTGATTTATTACAGGTTTATACATTGTAGAACTTTCTACCTTATTTAATTGGATTTTTCCTCACTCTTTTGCTCATGGATCTGTTTTAATTATTCACTTTTATGCTTTTATTGAAGCCACTGTACACGTTTTAAAATGCCCTTCTGATTCTGGCTCTCGACAGAAAACATGTCATCCAATTCTGAGCTAGAATGCAATCTCCAGTGCTATAATGTGCATGTGTAGTTATAGCCTCATGGCCATGACATTGGGGGCAACTATGCAGGTAATCATGCAGCCATGAATCACTGGTCGTTGATTGTTTTGTCATTGTATGTTAGTACATAGCATGCATTATTAATTTTACTACTGGCTTACAGATTATGATATTCCAATATTTGAGTCAAGTTGTGATTATACCACTATATATGGATGCATATTGCCCTTGAGAAAATGAGCATGTGTATGCATGCTTCAAAAGCAAATACATGTACATTAAAGTTCATGGACATTTGTGATCATGGAATTTGTCTGCTGTTTGATAAGCATTCTGGCATGAAGATGTTGACAATTACATTACAGGCATTGCACAGTGTCAAAGCAGTAAAACAACAAGTAGAAAAAAAAACATATTCTTTTCTTTTGAATAGTACTGTGAGGACATAGAACATTGGTTACATTATTCATCAATCTGTCTTGAAAATCAAAGGAGGAAAAATCAATAATTAGTGAAAATATCAAAACAATTTGATGAACAAAATAATACATACCACAAAATAGATTTGATAAATGTATTTTCTTATGTGTGTGTACAATTTATTACATAAAGACTTTCATGCAAACGCATATACATATACATGGTACGATTGCCACTCCAATATTAGGTCTTTTCAGCAAGACAGTGATCTACATGTGCCACTCGTGACCCATGTGAAGCACATACCGTAAATATCTGTGTATAAGATGCACTTTTTGGCCGCTGAAAACAAATGAAAGTCAGGGGGTGCGTCTTATACACAGAGGTTTACGGTAAGTAGGAAGAAAATCTTGAATCCATGAAAATCTTATCATGGAAGTTTGGCTCGTGGTGGATGAAAATTTGTGCTTATTTGCAGTAAAGTGTAATGTGATTAGTATTCCCACCATCCATCCTCTCCAATTGGCGCTATAGTTCTCATTAGAACTATAAGCTAAGAATGATAACCAACAGTCTATTTCAAGACTACACAAACAGTCCTTTTCAGGACTACACACCCTCAAAAAAGATTACAGTGAGTCCTTTTCAGGACACCCCAATCCTCCCTCTCTCTGTCACATGGTGCATCCGCAAGCCTACTGTATAGTAATGTGATTAGTATTCCCACTTTATAAATTCATCTATCCTAAATGTCATTTTTCTATTGTTGATGTTTTCAGGGCACCAAGTTATGGATCATCATGGAGTACCTGGGAGGAGGGTCCGCCTTAGATCTTCTCAAGTCAGGTGCAATGGATGAGATCTACATTGCAACCATCCTACGTGAAGTCATCAAGGGATTAGATTATCTGCACTGTGAGAGGAAGATACATAGAGATATCAAAGGTAATCTCAACATCGAAACACTACTGTCTCATCATCATCATCATCATCATCATCATCATCATCATCATTTATTAAAGTCAGCATTTTCCCTCTAACAAGGTGTTAATGACTTTCACACCATGATAACACTCTCTTCCTCCACTACTTCATGTCTCGAGCATCCTCCTCATTTAGACTAACCTTGCTGCTTTCTTTCTTAACCAGGGGGGTGTTTCACAAAGATCCCAAGTTAGACTTAACTCTAAGTTGGACTTAAATATTATGGAGAGCTATTTGTAGCCTTAAAATAAAATACATTCAAAAGCAAAATTCAAGTATTTTAGACTTTTTATAAATTCCACATCAAGAACATGAAATCTCCATGATAAAAGAAAATATGAATGATTTGAATCAACATTTTATGCCTTTTAAAATAACTTTTACAAAATGTTTTCATAGATGCTAACGGCTTTCCATAAATTGTTAAGTCCAACTTAGAGATAAGTTCAACTTAGGATCTTTGTGAAATGCCCCCCAGATCTTTCCATGAAATACTTTGACATACGGTAATGATCCAGACCAGGGCTTCGTAACACAGAGGTTTGCAGTCAGTTTCAAATTTAAAATGACGATTCTGATTGGTCGATAGTCGGTCTTTGAACAATATATGTGCATGCAACCATGATCTTGATTGGTCATTGTCATTATGCGATTGATTACTAACCTTTGTGTAACAGGGTCCAGGTTATTCAGAGGAACATTGGCTGTCTGTGAGGAGGTCTTAATAGCTATGCATTGTCAATGATATTACTAGTAACTACCTTCTTATCGCCAACCAACATAAATATATATATATAATTTTTTTTTTAATTTAAGATTTCTTCAGGCCTCCTTGTACCATCTGGAAGATGAAAAGAAATTAAGAGCAAAAGATCAAGAACATTTCAGTTTGATCCAATGACAAACATTCTGTGGTCAATTTATATCTTTTCTCAAGTTCCTAACTCAATGGCTGAGGCAATAATATTGTCAAAAGATCTTACAGTCAGACTGTTCTTACGAGAACGTAAATGTCAATGTCTTGAAATCTAACATTAAAATGATTGAAATTGATTTTCTGTCTGTCTCTCTTTCTATTCCAATCGATCAGCTGCAAATGTATTACTGTCTGAGAATGGCGATGTCAAACTGGCTGACTTTGGTGTAGCCGGTCAACTCACAGAGACACAGATAAAGAGAAATACGTTCGTTGGTACACCGTTCTGGATGGCTCCTGAAGTCATTAAACAGTCAGCTTACGACTCAAAGGTAAGAGACTCATGTAGGGGCAAGGCTATGGGGAGGGGGTGGTCGGAGGGGGTGGTCGGAGGGGGTCTGGATTGTAATTGTAAGGGTCTGTATGCATGCATCCCTGCTTCCCTATTTAAGTGCTATGTTTTGTGGCTCATGTGCACCCGCCCCCTTCCCCCACTCCGGGGTCGGAGGGACCACTTTCATGTTCCCAAAAATGTCCGGTAAAGGGGTACTATTCATGCAACAAAGTCTGGCTCGTAATACACAAAAATCCGGCCCGTATTGACTTTACACACCGGACTTAGGGGGGTGTTTTTCAAGGGAGGGAACATGCATGCGTACCCTTATTAACACTGAATGGGGGGACCAGGCACCAGACAGACCCCTGTTAGTATCATACCCTATATGTTTCTAACCAGGGTGAGATGGAGGCAAAGGAGACTTGTCTTGGGGGTACTTGTTCACAAATCCTTCAAAGCATTGAACTTCCTTCATCAAACACATGTGCAGATCAGTGGCCTCATGATTATTTGGCTAGGCTAGTTCATGTTTATACTGGATCTCCTGTTGCAGTGGTAGGCCCTCACAAATGCATCCGTTTGTTTACCATGCTATTAATTTTAATATCAGCAAAGATTAATATAGCTGCGCGATCTGGCAGGGCGTCAAATAGTCTTCTAACCTTTGATTTGTAAGTTGTTTGAGCTCTATAAAATAGCTTGATAAATGAGATAAGGGTTCATGTGTATGTTTGTTGTGTCAAATTCCTTGATAAGAAGTAAATGTTTGGGAAGGGATGTTATAAAATATTTATGCAATTATCTCTTTTTCATAAGACCTTACTATTAGGAATTATATCTTTTACTTGTTTGTAGTTTTCTTTGAAAATATATTCAACAGGTTACAGTATCAGAATTAAATGCAAGCATAAAGTGTTTTTTATTCTTGAAGAATATCAAATATTCTAACAAGTATCTTTAATGCCCTTCTGGCTCCAAACAGACAAATACTAGGTGATGAGTATGATGGATCTGGTATGAATTTGTCTTTGATCATATTCATCACTAGAATCCAAAGATATCTTTAAGAGAGGATGTAGAGAGAACGGTAGGGATGAAGGAGGGCATCCCGTTGCTGATCTATCTATAGCCTTGTTTATATTGAGCCATGCATGCTTGAGATTCATACCAGTCCATCAGGTGTGGCCAGGCAGGATGGCTGGGGATGGGGGTGAGCCTAGATTACAAGCCAATCTTATTACCAGCTGTCTATCAAGGAGATTGAATGTCTGGGTGCGAGGGAGTGTACCTAAGAATATATCACACCTCATACCGTTAGATGGGAAACCCATATGCCTCCATCATCCTCAGAAGATGATGTATTGATTACAAGCACAGATGAATGGTAATGTTGTTGTTGTTGTTGTTTCATGTACATGTATACACAGTCTAAACTAGATTTACAGTGTGCACTGAATATTTTTATCATTAGAACTTACAGTACCATTATCTGATCCAAACTTTTTTTGTGAAAGAAGTGTGTGTATACTGGTAGTAGATAATACCAGACTACATGTTCATGCAAACGGTATCTCACATGCAGGTTACCTGCACTTTATCTCTCAAAATCTTAGCATTTTGGCCTTAATTCTTACAATTTTATAGATTAAATGTGACAAGAATTTTGAGTTTGTATAATCTGAGTACTTTTGAATCCATCTCCATGTAAATCTAAACTGCCCCGTGTAGAGGAGAGTCACCACCATTGCACGTTAAGAACCCACTGCACTATTCGTATAAGAGTTGTAGTGATCCACCAGCACGCCCACATCAGGCCGAATATATATGGCATCTGCAAGAATCTTCAGTATTGAAGGAGGCAGATTATCTTGAAGAAGAAGGAGAAGAACAAACTGAACTCCACAAAACCTTGTAGAATGATTGAAACCTTATTGTGGGTGTGTCATGTAGTAAAGTGCATTGCACTCCTTGATAACCTTGCATATTGTAATGTCATCTGCTCTTGTCCTCGTCATTTTCACAAGGCCTATCTTCACTAGCTCGAGATTGCCAAATATACCTCTATTTGAACTATCCAGATCGCAAACTATCCAGCTAATTTGCATCTTCATCAGCCCAAAGTTGCAATTAACGGGATATTTGGACGGGATTGTCATCCCAAGATATCTTGGGATAGTTTGCAAAATAACCAGCTATTTGTCCGGTGCATTTTCACCAGACTGAAGACTTGCACTATGCGCGAACGCTGAGCAAAATATCTTGAGCTAATTACTCAAGGTCGAGTTTGAAGTTTCTACGTCGAATCTTGAGCTGATGGAGACGCGATTTGTAACTTCGGAATTATTTCCCAAATCAGAAATAGCGGGCTATTTGGCAATCTCGAGATGATGAAGACGCGCCTAAGGGTAATAGACCCTCCCTGGATATCAGTGTTATGCACCTGAGATATGTATCTAGATTGAAAGGCTGAGAACAGGGGCAGTTACACTGTCATCCAAACACGCCAAAAAATGCCAAACCGGAGCCTGGCCGCGATGTTACCAAGGGCAACTACGCTTTACCGGCAGACATGCCAAGCCCCAAACATTCCAAAACGAAGTGTGATCTTTTGGCGTGTTTTGGCGTGTTTGGCAAGTATAACCGCTCGCAGTTGTAACATCGCGATGTTAGGCACGTGACTTCCGGCACTTCCGGATTGTTACCCGCGCTCTTTTAAACCACGTTCTTCCCGTGTGATATTTATAGCATTTCCATCGTCGCGCGTGTTATCCGTTCATTCAGCTCCGTTTGTTCCAATTCCGTTAACTCATCCTTTATTCAATCTTCGTTATTCCCGTCTGGCCATATCTGTCTAGTAGTAGTATTTGAGTGTTTTGTTAGATTAATTAATATGGAAGTGAACAATTCCCATTGGACTGATGATGAGATGAAGTTCTTGATTTCGATGTGGAGGCAGGGAGAGCTCCTCCACCAGACTTCCAAGCGTCCCTGCAAACGTGGGGAAAAGGGCTTCAGTGAAAGCATGAAATTAACAATTAACAACGATGATTTTCTTAACCTTCCCATATCGTTTGTTACTAGATTTCGATTGAATTTGGGAAAACTGAATCAGCAGCCGTAGTCCGTACTTCGTAACTTATCCACTCTTGCCTCAAATACTACACGCGAGATAAACAAAACATATCGCATGCATGCGCATGGGATGTATCGCTATTTAGCTAGCTATAGCGCTAGCTGGAAATTGCGCGCGCTAAAAATCTTATAGCAGGCCGGGGTCAAAGGTCGGGAAGACTGCACATGCGCATTACCAACCGAAACACGCCAAAACATCGCTGAACAGCTCCGTCGGTGATGTTTCAGCACAAGTGTAACCGGGTGCACGAAACATCGCGACTTTTCAAAATGAGGTATTTGACAGTATAAATGCGCCTAACATTGCACTTTTGTGGAGCATCCTGTTATCTTTGGTTGGTGAAGGGTACTGGCGATAGTAGTAGAAGAAGGTTGTAAAACTTGCATCCATGAACTTTTTTCTTATTTTGAAGGTTGCTTTCATCAACTTTCTAGGCTGCGTAGTTGTGTAAGTCTTTGGTTGCGTTTATCTAGCAAATTTTTGGCTAGAATCAGGTTTCTCAAACGTCTTTCAGGCAAATTTAGAAGTTGATAAACGCAAAGCCTTTTTCAAACGTCTTTAGATATGGGCATATCTAAATACGCAAAAAGGTGCGTTTTGAATGTGACATACAGCGAGAATCATGTTTCTGAGAGATCGATAAACGCAAAGCCGTTTAGAACCTCACATACAAATAGGACCCCCCAGGTGTTGTGTACAAGCATGTGTGTGAAGATGACCTCCGAGAAACTGTCTGCTTCCCGGGTCAAAACAGCTGGGCAGACACAAGGCCTTTATTTTGAATCGTGAAGGGACGATAAATGCGACATCCCGCAAATCACGATTGTATAGTGAGGTTCGATAGTGGGGTTTGATGTGGGGTACGATATGTACATATCTAGTGGCAAGCCTTGATAAACGCGCCCTATGTGTACAGTACATATTCGTGTACACATTCAGCTTCTGCCATTGAAATGCTAATTACAAATAGGTAGATAATACATGCACATATACCTGTACTGATAGTTTTATTAAGAACTTTAAATAATGCAATTTAATTAACTGTATACTTGTTGTATTCATACTTTGCATCCATATGCTAGGGCTTGACATTTTCCAGGGGCCCAGAGCTGAGGACCCCCCTTCTCAATTGATAAATTTAAAGATTTTCTAAATTCAAACAGACCATAAAATCTCAATTTGTACCCTTGTGAAAAAAGTACTGGTAGGGCCTACAAGTTATACTGAAGTATACAATGGTATAGGTAGGCGAAAGAATCAATATATTTGCTATTAATCATCGTTCTTGTCAAGTTTCTAGGCCGTCTAATTAAACAAAAACATTACTGGTAAAATATGTCATCCCCCTCCCCCTCCCTCTCTATTTATCTCTTTTGTTTGTGTGTGTTTTTGTTGTTGTGATTGCTTCATATTGAAAGAGAAATGACCGCCTGGCTTGAGATTCTTTGGTAAGAGTAGGTTGACAATTCTGTATGGACGATTACTCATGTGTATATTTGCATTGTGCTCCGGTGTTCCAAAATAAATGTATTTTTAAAGAAAACGCCTGTAAAGTAAACAAAGTTCATGACAGAAGTACCTTCATGAAATTTGTATTGAAGGCATTGTTTAACATTGTTTCCAGTTATACAAATTTGAGATGCATGGCCCTATGTGTATCAGTGTCTGCGATTTGGTGTATTATTGAAGCCCTAAAAAAAAAGGCGCTTCAAAAAAGTAAATATCTTGAGTAACCGGTTTTATCATACTCCTTTTCCCTAATGGACTGTAGTGTTATAAAAAGTGTTGGGAAAATGGTTTTGAAATATCTTATTCCAATCATAAATATCTTAATAATCAGACAGGCTTGTAAAAGTCATGTGATTCCTGACTTACCTAAAGGTTTATAATTATGATTTAGATTACAGCATGAGCTAAATCCAGGATTTTTTAGAGAATCTGAGGCAAAGATACACAATCCCTTTAATACAAGTACAAGGTGCAGACTGCAGCGATAGAAATCATAGAATGTACATGTAGTTACTGTATTGTTGTTTACATGAATATCACAACTGGATAATTAATGTCCAGACTTGCTTCCTGTATTGGTTTTAGAATAATAATAACATCCATACAAATATTGGCACAGTGGATAGTTTGAGAATAATTGCAGTTAGTGAGTAGAGGATATCCACCGTGCATATGACGCATTATACCTGACATGTAGGCCTATGAGCTGGCTGCATGTAACGTTGTTGTTCACCAGTCACGCACTTACATGTATAAATAAAATACATATTCACAAGGTACCTGCACCTTTCTTGAGATTCATTTATATAATTTTTGTTGGTATTGAATGATCCTTGATTAAAGAAGACCTTGTAAACATGAACAATATTCATACATACCTGTATGTACATTGTACCCAAGTATTTTAAGATAAATTTACGTAAGCATATACATGTAATTCTGTTTAAAATCTGAACCTGGTGGACATGAAATGTAGGCCAATACATGTGTACATGAGCTGTGGTTTGCTGTTCAGAAACTTAGTCAGTTGAAACTGAAAGCATTCACAATTTAGTTATTAAAGAGATAATGTGGGCTTTGTACCTGGACGAACATTTTTTTTATGTTGACACCCGAAAGTCGATAGATAAAATGTTGCTATGTATCCTCTAGTAAGAGCTAGAAAGGCATTGATTCATACATAGAGCAAAGGTCCTTCTGGATGTGAGCAGATCATGTACAAGGACATGTCTACATGTAGATGTAGATGTAAATCTTGTTGAGTCATGGCCGTTAGGCCTAAAAGAAAAAGATGTTGTATTGCCACTTCTTCTGCCACTTCTTCTTCCACTTCCTAATGGTGGAATTGTCCTGTTGGTTACCGTACTAGAATTAGAAATATGAGAAAAATTTAATGTTGGGGTCATACCAATATATACATTGTACATACATATATGTACGATTGTACCTTTCATGAGGTACAAGGAATGCTCATATTATTATGTAACTTATGGTGTGCCGCTAAAGCTTCCAAGCCCCTACCCATTATTAGGGGTCATTTTGGGGGATTTTTCTTGAAAAAGACCCATTTTTCACAATTTTTGGGTGCTTGTCATTTTGCAAATATTTGAAAATTAAAAAAACAGACCCATGTTTAGCAATTTTTGTGTGAAAAAGTGACCCTTAAGAGCGGCATACCCTTGTATGTCCTAACATGTGAGTACCCCCCCCCCCCCAGGATTTACGTGCTAGTCTTCCGATACAGAAATTGTACTGTACATGCTCGTTGAGGCAATCAGTGTATAGGCGTCGAGTACATAAAGATATTCAGTGATCTGTAGCATCTTTTGTCTCTTTTCTCATTTACAAACTGGGAAGATTTATAATTGTATGGAATGCCAATTCCGTGGAAAAAGGGGAAAATCCCTTTTTGAAATGGCGTTAAATAAATCTCAACATATTCTATAATTAACCTTTCTGTCTTGGAGATCTTTATTATAGTTTATTCAATCTACATCCTGGTGTATTATCTGACTAAGGAAGGGATTTTAGGATTACATCGTCTGTCACGCATACATATGTGTTTGGGATGTGTACAAGTTTGTGTATGTTTAACGATAAAGACCAGTTCTTGTCATGCGATTGCATTGTGAAAGAAACGTTGTGCACTAGATCAGAAAAGGTTAATCATCTAGCATATAAGCATTGGGTGTGTACTGCAAGGTTCTGGAATCATCAAAATGATAAGAAATTTGGCCCAGTCTTGGTAAAGTTACAAACACTGTACCCAGAAAGATGTATATGGGACTATGCACATGTGCGCGACACATGCGTTTATCTCTCACATAACAATAGATAAACTAATTTACCAAATATATCAATTAGTACATGTAGGCGGTTTCCCAGGAAAATTTGTATCATCATGTATTAGTTAAAACATATTCTTTCACATCATTGGTAATAGGAGCTTCCATTTCATTTTTTGAAATTGGGGCGTTTCCAAAACTGGTCTTTACCTTTAAACATGATTGAGCAGAGGGCTTTTTCAAACACAACATTAATATTTACTAGCTAGAAAGTGTATGATGAGTTAAAAAAAGGGAAGTGGAAGAAAATATTGTAAAAAGTATAATTTTTCATATACGGTATGTAAAAACCCAGAATCAAAAACAAAATGGCATCATAACATAGGCACCCAGTGCATACAGCCCTTCAGAACACTTAGATTTTGGAGAGTAATGAGAGGCCCTGTGCACACTCCTGGTCCCGTATTCAATTCAATACTTAAAGTTAAAGCCCCACTGTCCTACTTGTAGCTACTTGCTCCCTCTATATATAGAAAACTTCCCCAATCGGTGCCAGTTGGTCCCCCATGATCCTCTTTTTCTTATGTTAGTTGAGAGCTGAGTTAATGAGATAGCCACCTGTCAGTGACCTCGCTGTGTGGTCCAATCCCTTCTGGCTCAGTAGTATTGACAGTCTTTAAGTACAAAATGCAAGCTTTTTACTTAGTATTTGGCTTAGATAAAATACTTAGCCAATTTAGGTATTCAATTCACACTTTTGGCTAAGTATTTAACTCTAAATCTAAGCCAGACTTACCAGACTTAAAGGTAATACAAAGTTTTGGTAAGGGGTCATGAATTTGGTTTAAATGAACAAATTGGAAGCGTATGAGATCCTACAATATTCAGTGATCGTTGTCGCGGTCGAAATCGAGTCTACAGTTATGAAATTGTAAATAATAAACACCTTATGTTGAATAGCTCCCTCTCAAGGTCAAGATTTTAATTAAGCTATAAAACAATGTCTATTGACTAAAATCGACCGATTAGCTATTCGCGTTCGGAAATTATTTACCACAACTACATACTCTGAGATTTTCATGGTCGCAGCTACCATTTTACGGCCGTAGGAGCTATTTGAAATTTATCAATATTTACCGGGAGCACCGGTGAATTTTTATATTCAATTTTTCTCGAAAGCAGAAATGTTTTAGGGGCTAAAATTTCTGGTGTTTTTAATACATTCACAGGGGCATCCAAATATATCAAAATTGTAAAGAATAACTATCCACCCATTTTTCAAAATTTCCCAAAACTTTGTAATACCTTTAAGCCAATTATTTGGATGCCTTGATTGGCAGGCATATGGTTTTCTTACAGAGTATTATAACCTGCGCACAATTTGTTAGCGAGCATTTATTGGAATGCATCAATTGCCCATAACTTTTGATTGACCGTATGTATATCAGTAAGTATTTTACTTAGATTTTGTCTTACGTAAGTATAAGTCTAAAATGCGATTTGAATACGAGATAAGTAAATTTCTTACTTATGCGTAGTATTGAATTGAATACCGGCCCTGACTCCCACTGAACAGAGTCTGTGACTGCGGAGCTCTGCCTTATACATTGTATATGCCTCTCTTCCAGTTAACCATCAAGCTGACTAAGGGGGAAACCCCTACTAAGATCTTCAATCAGTCTATTGAGGGTTCTTTTTTCAATTATGATAATAATAGTGATGATATTATTGATATGCCGTTCTTGTAAAGTGTATATCACACCTTATGATATAATGTCTTACACATATACATGTATACATGTCTATTTGTTTCTCTTTCAGGCTGACATGTGGTCCTTAGGCATCACAGCTATCGAGCTGGCTAAAGGGGAACCCCCTAACTCTGATCTTCACCCCATGAGAGTCCTCTTCCTCATCCCAAAGAACAACCCACCCAAGCTAGAAGGCAGCTATACCAAGAACTTCAAGGACTTTGTAGAAGTCTGTTTAAACAAAGACCCACGGCATGTAAGTTCAACATCTTTCAAACATCAAATTCCATGTATCACTATAAAGTAGGTCCATGGTATCTGTATCTGTCCGTGACGTACAATGACCAGCATCTGGTTGTCACGTATCACATAACCCCAATTTTTTTTTAATTGTGTATGACGTCTGTGAATTGTGCATCTGTTTTCACAGTCTGAATGTATTGCAAATACATAACATTTCTAACTTCCACAGTGGGTTTCACCCCCCAAAAGCTTATGGTTTTATCTTAACTTTAATCTGTTCAGTTGGATGCGTACCGGTAATGCTCCACAAGATCAAGTGTAAACCATGTTTGACCTTGGAGCAACTTATGCAAACAATTCTTATAACCACTGCATTTATTCATGAAATAGCAGAATTCTAGAAGAGTCATGCAGAATATATTGAACACAAAGAAATCTCAATTTCCATCTCCAAATCTAAAATCTATTCCATAGCAAAATACCTGTAAGTATAAGTATAAGTATAAGAATTTATTGTCCTTTACAGGAAATTTGTTTTCCACTGGTTACAGAGTATTACAATACAAATATATACATGAAATATTACAAGACAGTGATAAACATGAACATTATGATAAGCATACATAAAGAATGAGATAATATGTGAGTAAGCCACTGTATATATGGCAGTATGGTGGTTGAAGAGATAATATCAGATTCCATTTTACAAAATATGAAGCTAAATTATTTAATATTCATTGATTATTCCATATTAAATCTTAAAATGATAATAAATACATGAATTATTATTATTATTATTATTATTATTGATTACCATTTTCAATAGTATAATTAATACCGGCATCGTTATTATTGTTAAGTTTATTGATGACACATAAGTTGTAGTTACTGGCTCAAACGTTAGTAAATAGTTGGATGCAGTATTCATGGCATATACATTTATATTGATACATTAAATGGTAGGTTCATAGTAGTCAAACACGTTTTGCTTTGGAATTGAAAAGATGAATGGAGTCGGGGATAAAGGATCTTCGGAAACCTGTACAAAAAGTACTTAGCTATTATTATCACTAACAACGCTGTTAATAATGAGGCTACACAAGCAGTTATTTATCAATAATGTCTCATCTGATTCCCAATGCATTTGTGACTGTTGTACAGGTATTTGTACTTTCTAATCCTTGTGTTATCTTGTATGTTCCAGCGGCCGACAGCCAAGGAGCTACTAAAACACCGCTTCATCAAGCAAGCAAAGAGAACCTCCTACCTGACAGAGCTGATTGAGCGTTATAAGAGGTGGAAGGCAGAGGGTAACGACTCGCCGGACTCAGACCCAGAGGATAATGAATTGTAAGTTTTCGTCTAGGAGCTCTCCTCCAGGGGCTCAAAATACTTTCATTTAAATATTTTTTCTGTAAAATTTAAAGGTAAAGACCAGTTTTGAAATGAAAACTCTTAACACCAATCATGTGAAAGAATATGTTTTGACTAATACATGATGATACAAATTTTGCTGGGAAACCGCCTACTGATTGATATATTTGGTAAATTATTATATCTATCTGGACTGAATAGATTCAGAGTAGTCCCATATACATCTTTCTGTGTACAGTGCTTGATGATTCCAGAACCTTGCAGTACACACCAATACTTATATTCTAGACGGTCAACCTTTTCTGATCGATTCCACAACGTTTCTCTCACAATGCAATCGCATGACCAGAACGGGTCTATACCTTTAAGGAATTGAAGCTATGTAGGAGCGTATATTGTATATTGGCTGTTAAAGGGACTGTTTGGTCACAGCTGCCATCTCAATATATGTGAAGCAACCACACACACAAAATCGCTATTTTGTGTCAAAAAGTTTTCTCAGGGTGGGGAGGGGGGCCTATGAAATACTGTAATAAATATGAACTTCTGATTTCTTTTTTGGATTAATCTTCGATGAAGAATGAAGAAACTGAAGATAATGGCAAGGTCTCTCCTCTTTAAATGTGGTTTTTTCCAGTTATTACTGTACTGTGTAGCTGTAAATCTCAATTGACAGTTAATGAGCAGTTCTGTTTCCCTCATACTTTCATGTTTGTTGTCGCGTGGGAAACTGGATTAAAGTAATGATAATTAGCCACAAGTAGAATGATAGACATTGGAAAGCGAAACCAAAGAAGAATAGTGAAGAGTGGGTGTAGCTAGTTTTGCCTCCATTGTCTTGTGGTTTTTTATATTTTGTAATATTGAGATGGGGTTCTTGGTGCTTAGGAAGGAAGCAAAAACATGGTTTTGTAGAAAGTGATTCACAAATTTCATTTTAACTATTTTTAGCAGTGATTTCATGGAAAACTGCTGTGTTGTGATGACTTGAAAATCAATATTTAGCAACTTTGTGTGAATAAAACCACCCCCAAAAAGGCTAGGTATTAGTTGATTTGAAGAAGAACAAAAAAACAAAAACATGGCAGCCGTGTACACGTGTATGCGATCGTATGTCTGGACATGTACACGACTACCTAATTACACGCTTATGCACAGCCTTAGTAGCTTGTCTGCTAAAGCTAGGGGTAATACAACCTTGCACAGGTCAGGGCTTAATACTGGTAGAACTGTAATTATTAAAGGCCCATTGCACTACTTGTAGCTACTTGCACCCTCTATATAACAAACAATGCCTAATCGGTGACCATTTTTTTATGTTATTTGAGAGCTGAGTTGATGAGATAACCACCTGTCCAGTGACCTGGCATGGTGGTCTAAACCCTCCTTTACACTAGTACTGATAAGCTTTAAGTTGTATTTACAAGTAGATGTAACTGTTATTTCTTTGTATTTGATTTTCCAGCCCTAATGAGTCGCTTCAGAATAACTTGCCTGATTTTGACTACGGGAACACGATCAGGGGACCACAGTACATTCCTGAGCCTCCTCATCCTGAACCAGTTGAATCTATCCCTAGAAGACAACCTAAATCAGAGTGCATTCAGTCCCTCCTTGGTCCTATACTCAGAGATGTAAGTAGCAGGTAGTAGGCGGTGGTGGTGGAAAGTTTTACAGTCTCTTGACCTTTCCTGAATTGTCCCTTTTAATGAATTTTCCAAGTTCTTTCAGCCACTCGTCAATATATTTTTTTTTTGATGTGCTGTATTTATCTTATGTTTTAAAAGAAAGTATTAACCCTATTTGATTTGAATCAATTTGATTTCTGCATTTTTCCAAATACAATAACTGAATAACAAAGAACACATATATGTAAGATTTAGTAGAAATATACAAACAATAAGTTCATGTCAAAATGTAATTTTCATATTCACATATAATAACGAACTTAGTATTTCTATAACATTATTATGAATTTAAAAATTATCTGCGGATATTACATATTTGTGGATATTACAGCTTTGGAACGCTCTCCCAGTGTCGCTACGCTCCATGACTGATTTAGAGAGCGCTGAAAACTCACCTTTTTGATGAATGCTTCGAGTTATTGTTATGTAAACGTACATTGTAAAGCGCTTTTAGAGGGCCTTTGGTCCTGAAATGCGCTATAAAAGAACGAACTATTATTATTTTTATTATTATTATTATTATTATTATTATTTCAAATAATGCTCTGTTTGTTTTGACTTCAGCTCAAGCGCAAGAATGAGGGTTTATCCGGTGCCATCGATGAGCTTCAGAACAGCTTTGATATGGCAGAAGAGTCGAGTCCAGGAATCTGTGATAGATTAGTCAGTCAGGTTGTCTCTAGAGTAGAAAGGTAAACAAAACCAGTGATATACAGAGAGGGGGGATTGAGGAGTACTCTTTCTCTCTCACATGATGCATCCGCAAGCCTTCTGTAAATCTGCATCACCATGCAAGCCGATACTTACAAGCAGCATCAAAACCAGTGTTATAGTGGTGTTATAAAGTGTTACTTTGTTGAATAGAAGAAAATTGATACTACTTGTTGCCTATAAAGGGATGCAGTCTACAAAATAATCACATCTTTAAAAGAGTGATCTGCACATTGGATTGTTTGGTAGGCAAGTTTGCTAGTTGTTCTCCTGAAGATGGTTGAATCATACTGATCAATGGCCGTGAAACAACAAAGCTAAGAATCCAAACTATACTGTGAATGCAGCTCTTAATATATCTCTTCATTTTTTAAAGTTTTGTCAATCATGTAAAACACTCTCAACTTTGTCCTAGCTATAAACTTGAGTTCTAGTAAATATAGAATATAAATTCTCACAGAATCCATCGAAACTAACACTGAATGTTAGAGATTAAAAATAAATGACATGTGCCAAACAATTTAGGTAGAAAATGTATAGTGGCTGAGATATGAACTTAGAAAGATAAGGAAATCCGGGTAAGTAGGCCATGTGCTTAACCAAGGTCACTGTGTGCAAATGGAAGTTTTATTGAAGATGATGCCCAGTAAGTTTTTATTTCACTGGTTTAAACAACCCATTTACTGCAGGATAAACAATCCAGAACAAATCATAGCAATTTTCTCTCAAAATACGATTCCCATACCAGAGTTCAAGGTAAAAGCTTTAACACCTGAATGATTCATACCCATTGCAAATTTGATGTTTTTGTGTTTTTCATTTCTCAAGAATGAAAGTTGGACTGACTGAATTAGGGCCTTTGTTGAATACTTGAAGATGTAAGCTTTGAGATATCACATTCTCAAGACATATCAATCGGGACAACATCAGTTTGGCACATAATTAAACATTATACAACTTGGTAAGGGTATGAATAATTCGATTATTAATTGCATATCTTCTCATTTTTCCCTTCCCAGTCCTCCAAGACCATCAGTGTCAAGATCAGGTCAACATTAACCAATCATCACACCCCCACCCACCAGCAGCCATCGTGTCATGCTCGTGAACAGAACTGTACCAGCAAGCCAAGCATGAGCAAGCAAGCCAAGACTGTATGAACAATGATGAGCACGGTCAATAATGCGGCACAAGACACCATTGTGTCCTCATCGGTGGTGACTTCTTTGCGGCAGGCATTCGTGTCATTGTACTGGTTCAGATGCTAGATGGCAAGGAAGAGATTAGGATGTCATTGATGATATCAACAGAGAAGGGCATTTTTCAGAAAGGGCGTATCATCGATACCAAGCTGTAAAGAAGGATGTGTGATGATTATCAAGCGGTAGAGTGTGTGCTTTGAGATGCTTAACCCATTGCTTACTGGAACCTTGTGGCTCTTGTATAAAGCCTATGACAATGAATGAATTCAGTAGTCAACCGGTTAATGGCTAATCTTTTCAGGATTTGTCAGCATTGGAGAGAAAGAAGTTTCTTGTTTAAAGGAGACAGAAGTGATTGATTGATGTGTCCATTCGCTTTCATAGAAGAGTTACAGCCAGAGTGAGAGATGATTAGTAGAAATGCCTTACTCCAGTTCTAGTACAGCATGTAGACGTGTCTCCCTCCATTGGTACTGCTAAGAACGGTGTCACAAGAAATAGCCTTCAGACAGACATTATTAACATCATAACACTCTCTTGTTCCAGTCTACAGTAATGACAGTAGAAATAGTATATGTATCTGGCTGGATTTTCATTACATTTGATGCTTGTAGACTCGGCTTCATGGAGAGTCGTTATGACAAACACTTGCGGAAAAACCCTTCTGTGAATTTGTGCATGTTCATGAAAGAAAGGATCGTCCCGCAACCTTTGCTTTTGCGAGGAACCCTTATCTTCATTTTCGGGTTGTATGCTATAAGATTGTAATATCCCTGTTACAATGCAACTATACTGCTTAGCTCTGTCTCGCTACAATTTAATATGATACAGTGTTACTGAGTAACCATACATTTACACTGTAGCTCTTGTATAGGGTAATACATCCATTAATTCTTCTCTTTTCCTCACTGTAACACAGACCCTAGTTTGATCTTCAACATAATCTTACTTACACTAATACATCTGATAGATAATCATCAGTGTAATATACTCATTTTGACATATAAATATATATATATTTTTGCATACTATTTCTATCTCTCATATAACCCCAATATTATTGTATGGCCATAGGGAGATGCCCTAACAGTGTTTAAATGAAAGCAAGTTTCTTTCTGTTTACAGAAAGAACTCATCATTTTCCAGGCTTATTTTTAAACAGAATATTCTGAATTTACAGCATAATATACACTATTAACGATTATAAAGGTGTTAACAAAAACAAAAGACAATTCTGCTTTCCTTACAATGGCAGCAATACGCTCAAGGTATTTGGCACCAGAGTTCAACTTTGTTGTACTATCTAACATTTGTAAACCTTAGTGATCAGACAGCCTGAATTCAAAATTATTTGGTCTGTGATTTATGAGTATTCTGAATATGTATTGGGCATCGATTAGACAGAAGAGCTGCTGATGGGCAGGGAAAATCCCCTAGAAATGAACACACACACACATACAGACAAATAGACAGACACAGACAAACAAAGACAAACACTGTTGGGGTAAACATGTGGCCAGGTTTGTTGAGAATGATAGTAATATTTGAGATGTGCTTATGATGTACATGTAGATTTAGGCTTCCATGTTGGTAGGTTCCAGTCTCTCTTTCATCAATTTGATAATGAGTTTGAAATGTTCTGTCATCGTATTATGATTTTTTTTTTTCCTTCTCCATGTATGTGTGTTGTAAAGAAGGAACAGATGTGGTTGTATTTATTCCTTATGTCAATCAGATTTTGGTATGATAGACTGAATATAATTTCATATTAGATGAATTTCATTGATGTAGGTTTATCGTTTGCATATTGACCTCTGACCTCTCAGATGCAATAAGTTATTCATCCTTGATGGAAACAGGTTTGAGGTTTGTAACCCAACGTCAAGATGCTTTTATTTTAAGTTGTTTCTTCTCAAAGTTAACCTCAAAGTTAATCTCAAGCAGATTCTTATTCATACAGCACCTATACCATATTTTCACTTTTGTGCTATTGATTTCATTTCAGAATCGTAAATGGCCTATTTCATCTTCAAGTCCAATCTGTGTATTTATGAATCAATTGAGGGTTAGATTGTTTTGAGATTACGTGCTCTTGCATTTCTGATATCCCAGAAGCAATTCCATCATTGTTATAATTTAAAACGATACTTGAAGTAATTTGCTTGACAATATGAATTAAAAAGGATGGCTGTTTTTTTTTATAAATCAAGTGTGATGATAAAAGCCCGGTTATCAGGATTTTGTCATTGCAAGTGCACCTCTCACAATATGCAATAATCAGTTGTGTGCGATACAATTCTGAATCAACTTCCATGATCTTTACTACGTAATGATACCAAATGAATGAGCTACAGAATCACACTCTCCATGTATATATATATTTCATTCTGTTTGGGACTGTTACAAACTACCGTAAGATGAGAGCATGGTACTTCTCTACCTGTTAAGGTCAAAGGTCAAAGAGGCTTGTCCTCTTCCAATTCACTACTTCTCATCAGAAACCTGCAATCATGTGATCATGTGACCTGCAATCATAGAAGTCATGTGATTCATGTCATCACATTGGTTTTGAAACAAAGACACACTCATGCCCACATGGCCATACAATGAAGCATTCTTCTTAATGATACAAAGTGATGAATAATACCTGATAATAATAATAATATATTACATTTTATTATTACATAAATCACTTAATAAAATGTTTCTAAGCACTCAACAAAAATACAAAGTAACGTTAACCTACAACAATATTATACAGGATACATAATTCTAATAACAATGTATATAATGATAATGATAACAATTGATCTTTACATAGCACTTTATAAATAAACAAACAAAATATAATTTGATTACATATTGAACAGATAAGTTTTAAGTTTAATCTTGAAGTTTTCTAAAGTTGGGACTCGTGTATTTTATGGGGAAGTTTGTTCCAAAGTTGGCTTTAGCTGAGATACCCTAGAGAGGGAGGCAATGAAGCATTCAATGAATTTTTTCCTACCCGGAACCTATTAGCTTTACCTGGGTGGAGAGTGGCGTATGTAGACTAATATGTCTTGCTTAAGGACATGTCATCTGACGTTCAGATCCAGAAGGGCCTTTATTGTGTGTTGAAGTATGAAAGTGAACACTCTTCAAGCTCCACACACTGTATTACCATCTGACATTGAACCTACTCAGTCACAGAGTCACTTTGGGGTGCTGACTTACAATGTAGCCCATGCAATGCATAATCCCAATCTCAATCCTGTGTCGTTAACATACTATGTATTTTCCATAATAATTATAATAATATTGAATATTTAGGAGCGCTAAAAACAATACCGGTAAGTACCATAGCGCTTACAAATACAAACATATGAAAAAAGGACAAAAATGTACAGTACAGGAAGTATATCACATAGATCATTGGGGGGAAAAGGTGAGTTTTGAGGGATCTTTTGAAGGTGGCAAGACAGGTAATTTCCCTTATGGAAAGAGGGATGCTGTTCCAAGTCTCTTATGCAGCTACTGCAAAACGTTTTTCAGCAGCTGAGAGTCTAGATGACTCTTGCAAATTATCCGCATTTTAAGTACAAAAGTACCCTTATGGCCCTCAACATTCATCATGTGATTTAGTCAAGCAGTATAATGCCTTATTGAACAGAGAGAAAGAAGTAGTGAATTGTAAAAGGCTTCAACTGAATTTACTTTGCATGAAGCTGTGTCGCAGCGGAATAGAGTAACCAAATTTGAAGCAGCATTATCTTGAAGATAGGATTAAAGTTATATGGTTGTGTTTTTACTGATTCGCTCAGAAGCAGTAGGCCCCTTGAAGGCTTGATTTGTTAAATTATGAGAGAGTTTATGTACATTCTTTGAATCATAGCTATTATTTTTGTGTTTGAAATTCAGTTTGTATTATTTTCTTTGCACAAATTATTCAGAGTGCTGCAACAGGTTTGAATTTGGTAACACATTCTGTTTCTTTAAAGATAAAGTTGAGTTCTGGTCATCCGATTGCATTGTGAAAGAAACGATGTGGAATCGATCAGAAAAGGTTGATCAGCTAGCATATAAATATTTGTATGTATTGCAAGGTTCTGGAATCATTAAAATGATAAGAAATCTGGCCCAGTCTTGGTAAAGTTACAAGCACTGTACACAGAAAGATGTATATGGGACTACACAAACAAGTGGCGTAAAAATCTGTCCCGATTTTTACGATGTTAGATGCCATATCTAGAATATGAAAGCATTTGAAGAGCCATGCTTTTCAGGGAACATGATTTATCTGATGTTCTTCCACACTTGCATAATAACAATGACAACGCTCACAAATTATTGTTCACCTCTTCCCAGAACTCAACTTTATCTTTAAGTGTCTAATTTACAGAGCTCTCTGAATATTCATCATTCTCAACATATATTATTTCTTCATTTCTGTGTGCAAACTATCTCCTTCCAATGGTCATTAATATTCATCTTCTTATTGGAGTATGAATTGATAATAATCCTTTTATGTAACATATTTGATGTGATGTTGCATGTCATTTATTACCATGTATTAAATTCTCTCGTTTTTAAAAACTTACAATGAAGAACATAATGTCCCTTCAATGTTTGACTAATTATCTGATATTCTATAACACGATGATATGTAACTTGTATGCAAATGAGTTTGTACATTTTCTAATTCGACTGACAGAAATCTGGTCCAATTGAAGCCTATTTTGTACCGAGTAATTTTGATGGTATTTATCTCTAGGTCATTAGATATTTTGATATGTATTTCAGCTTATGTGATTGAATCTATTTTGTATTTCTAGGACCATGAGGATTTTCCATGCCACATGTAACATTGTTTTTGTGGTATTTATAGTTGTACCAGCAACATGGTCCTCATACAGATCTCATTGTAAAGTTGAGAGAAGGAAGTATTTTTTCTTGTTATAGTCTGACTTTTGTTTTACATATAGGTTGGTCCTTTTTTTAATTAATAATATTTACTAATTACATACTTGCTTGCATGGTTGCAGATTTATCATTTTTTTTTGTATTTTTCTCTTACTTCATAGTGATTAGTCTTTGTATGTTTGGAATGTTTAACTTGGAAAAACAACCTTTTTTCAATGAGATTTAAGAGCATTGATACAACAAATGTTGTCTCTTATAAATAGATAATTATCTGTCAAGTAAGACATATGCTTGTTTATCTGGGATTTCTTTCTTAAAATGTAAAGCTTTTAAAATTATCTTTATTTATTTGTTTCCATTATAGCAAGATGATATACAATTGTGAATAGGGGTGGTGGTAAAACTTGTAGATTTGTAGAGTATTACTTTTTTTTTTAAATTGAAAGGAAGCATATTTCCTATGATTAGGGAAGTATGATTTTTTATACATGAAAAATGATTGATTTGTAACATGCACACATGTACAAGTACCGGTTTTTCTTCATGAGAAAGAGGTTTTATTTGCAGTTTAGATGTGGTTGTGAAACAAATATGATCCTTCTTGTGGATGGCGGCTCTCCTAATGGACTTTAGTTGAACTTGCTATGAACTCGAGCAATTAATCATGCAAATTCTGTCACACATTGAACAATACAGGTCTAATACAGTCGAGTACAATTACAAAGATTGAGATAGTACTTTATAAAAGTAAATAAAGATTTATGTTTCTTTTTGAGTGCATTTCATAAATGCTCCCTGGGAAAATGAGTATATAATCCATGATATCGTCGGCTCAAAATTCAAACAAGAAATATTTTCGGCTCGAAATATTAAACAAATAATGTTGACTCAAAGCCAAGAGGGTGTTTAATAATTACTGTGAGGACATGAGTTACTGTAACACCCTCCTGGCTTTCAGTATACATTGGATTGTCCTCAGTCTGTGTGTATTTTTCTTTCTAACTCACACCCTTTTATGGTATACCATAGATATTTAGCCCAGGGTTAAACAAATCTTGGAACTTCTGATACAAGATGAACATGTTGAGGTGGAATCCCAAATTTCATGATGGGATTTAAAAAGAGCAAAAGTTTATATTAACCTAGAAGAAAATGGAACAAATGTTTTGCTCATGATACTTTTCCTGGTGTAGTTTATGCCAAATATCAACCAATAGACAACCATTTATATTTACTTTAAGTGTGACTAATACCTGTCATCTTGACTTTGTAATATTATAGAAAGAAACAAAAACTTCTCTTTTTTAAAATCAGTATTTGTTTTTTGCTTTGCTCGATGATTCTGTTTTCTTTCTTCTGTCTTGTTTTCATACAAATCAAAACGTAGTTGAAAGAAAACCATTGTAATTATTTTTTGTCAAAATGGTTATGTACAAATGAAGAACTGACGATGAAAGTACTACCTGTCTTTGCGTCTCTTGTTTTTGTGTTGTGTGAAAGTGTATTGAAAGATTGCTCTATTATTTCATGTTATATTCTGTATCAAGTACTATTTGGGAGTTGAAAATTTTTTTTGGATCAAATATTTAAAATCTTTTTTAGACAAAAATTGACATTTTAAAAAAATTCTAAATTCCCAAAATGTTATTTTTTTATTTGTTATGAATAGATTGTTGATGCAGGATATAAAACAAATATACCTTGCCTTCTATTTGAGATAGTGGTTAAAACTATGGGCCTCGGTGACTCCAAAAGTATCGATTTCGACCCCGACAACGATCATTGAATATTGTAGGATCGCATTGCTTTCAATATGTTCATTTGAACCAAATTCGTGACCCCATACCAAAACTTTGTATTACCTTTAATTCTGATGTGGCTCCTGGCTACCCTGTGTGAACAACATGTTTTAGCTGCTGGTGTTGGCTGTTATGGCTACTGTTAATGTCATTACAATATGATCCAAGTTGTTGAAACCACCAAATCAGAAATATGATTTGATCCAAAGTCTGATGAAAAGTTATCACACAGCGGATATTTTTATCATTAAAACATACTCTATGCAAAAATTAAGTCGCACACTCGTTCAAACACATAATTGATGTAAAAATGTCAGATTGAGACATATTTGATATTTCTCAAGGAAGTTTTTATTTACAAATAATAATATATCACACATATCCACTGTACACACATTACTGTAAACTTGTCAAATATATAGGCACTAGACTACTGTGATGTCTACACAGCACAGTATTATCTATCTACACATATTTACAACTCGTTGCATAGAGGCAAATACCAAATATATTATTCACTTCATAGTGCAAGTTGATCAGAAAGCTTTTGTCAGTTAACTAAAAGTAATTCAAAATATAACTGGACAGCTGCATGGCTCTTGTCAGAAACATATTTGATGAAAATTGTTTGTACTGGAGGGGGGGGGGGGGGGGTGTTTCACAAAGATCCTAAGTTGAACGTAACTCCAAGTTGGACTTAAATATTATGGAGAGCCATTTCTATCCTTAAATGAAATATAATTATTCAAATCAAAAATTGAAGTATTTTAGACTTTTCATATATTCCACATCAAATCTCCTTGATAATAGTAAATATGAAAGATTTGAATCGACATTTTATGCCTTTCAAAATAACTTTTTCAAAATATTTTCAAAGATGCCAACGGCTTTCCATAATTGTTAAGTTCAACTTGGGATCTTTGTGAAGCACCCTCCTGGCATTGCAGCATCCTTGGGAGCTTGCACAGAATCAAGAATAAAATGAAACTATACCCTTATGCTCTCCCAGTATTCATCCTCCTACATACAATGTAGTTGTGATTCAACTTGAGTTTTTACGCTTGAGCATATATGATACAAAATAAAGCAGCACGCTTCATTCATTGTAAACCTAAATTTGTTCATGTCTCCCCTCTCATCACTGATCTTCGTGTTAGTAATTATATCATACATAAGACCTGGGGGGGGGGGGGGGCATTTCATGAAACAATTAGTTGGTGGTTTTCACAGAATAATATCATGTTCATCAACAATTTACTCAGCGCTGACTAAATTAGACCAATCACAGGCCTGGAAAATAGTCGGTGACAAAATAATTGTCGGTGAAAACCACCGACTAATTGTTTCATGAAACGCCCCCCTGAACTCTCACTTACAAGTGTCTCAATAATAAGGCCCCAGCATACCTAAGTGATCTACTCCATTCGTACACATCCATGTATAATACACGATCAGCCAGTAGTAATATACTTGCACATGCACATTAGCCTATACAGTGCTGCCAAAGTACTATCAGTCAATACACTGAATGATGTATAGCTTAAGGTTTCTAGATATAGATATGACTAGAAGTACATGAAACACAATGATATGCAGACAACAATTTTTTTCCTTCTAAATAGCGATAGCACAAATTATGAATAATGTTCTACTCTTCTTAATAAGTACATGGTACATTTTGGACGGCTTCAACCACAAAACTGACCCGTTATTCATTATTCTCTTTCATAGATAACAAATCACACACATGTATAAGGTGCACTGATAAATGTATGCTGTATTAAAGTAGATGATCATAATCTAACACAAAGCAGAAAGGCCTTTACTCAGTGTGGTATATGGCAGTATTGAAACACCGTACAGATATCTTCATCTTTTCTCATGGATGATGGATACTTATAATATCTAAATATACTCCCCTGTTGTAACTCAGAAATGACAGTCAAGATTTTGTCATCTATCTTGTATCACAATTTGAATAATTTTGAACTGAAAAGTCTTCAACTCAAATCTTGTGCAAAATGTTATCAACAGAATAACCAAATATGAGTTAATGGCCTTGTGGTTCTCAGGAGAAAGACTTAGCAATCAGCTTCTAAAAGTAGTATGCCAGGAATTGTATATCCCTTGTGAATTCATAATCTGCTCAGAACTACCCAATTTTTCTGGAAAGCATTGAAGTACAGAGTACCTAACTCGAAGGTTTTTCAGGGAATTTTGCAAGATGATATGAATCTGCAGAGCATAGACTTTCAATATGCATTCCATATAATAATTAACAAAATATTTTAGAATTTGTAATTTCTCATTAATTAATTGTCTTCACAGCAGAGAGCACTTACACACTTTGAAGTTGAACTTTGCAAATATAACAATGGTTGAGATCACAAACTTACACTTACAATTCAAAGTAAATTATACAAAAACAAAGTTTGATAATGAGCTTTACACATGTATGAAATTAGAAATATTGGTCATCTATTACAATAGTACAATCAAGGTGAAGTAGTGTTCAGAAAGCACAAATGGTACATCACAGTGTGCTTTCACAGGTAGGACTAAGAAACATTCTATAACTTAGACTAAGAACCGTTCTATGGTTTGGACTAAGAACCATTCTATGGATTAGACTAAGAACCATTCTATGGATTAGACTAAGAACTGCTTTGGAAGATGAGAAACTATTCAAACCAAGAGCTGCATCAAACATTGGACTAAGAACTGTCCTACAAGTAGGCTTCAGAACAGTTCTAAAGAATAGGCCTAACACTGTTCTGCAGGATAGACTAGGAACTGTTCTCTATTTTGGAAAAAGAACTATTCTATACTTGGAACTATTCTATACTTGGAACTAAGACCTGGGAGGTGTTTCACAAAACTTGTCATCAGTGACAAATGACAGTTTCTGGTATAAGCTACTGAAATCCTTGCTACTGATTGGTTATCAGCAGATTTGTCACTGATTTTTGTCATTTCTCATTGAAAAAAGGCTTTGTGAAACGCCCTCCAGTTTTACAGGTTTGATTATGAACCATCCTAAAGGCAGGATTGTAAACTGATCTCTAGAGTGGGCTAAAGCCTGCTGGGACCCGTTTCACAAAGCCTTTTATCAATGACAAATGACAAATAGCAGTGACAAATCTGCTGATAACCAATCAGAAGCAAGCATTTCAGTAGCTTATAACAACAACTGTAATTTGTCACTGAGGACAAGTTTTGTGAAACACCCCCCAGGTTGGACTAAGAACGGTTCTATTCTGCAACCACCTCCCTAGACGGTTGTCTAGAGGACTGGGCTGACTTCATAGTCGTTTCAAGTTGTTCCAGGTCCTGTATCATCAGGTCTATCTGTTCATCCTCTTCCTGTTTATCCTTCATGGATGCATTGCGCACTGCGCTGTATTTGTTCTGAATCTGTAAAGGGAAACAAAATAAAATTAATGAATGCACTTCACTCAAAATAGATACCACTTATCATTACATGACGAAATCCTTCTTATTTAAAAACCCTTTCAAATAGAAGTGAGAAAACATGTAGGCCTGCTTCAGGAAACTTACACCAGTACCAACTTACAATCATTGATATGAGCTAATAAAATCATAGCATTTGAATGATTACAAGCAAATTCTTAAATCAAAAGCTAGAGAACTCTGGTATTTAGCAGCCATTACAACTCAGGAATTAATGACCCATAAAGTACACCCATATATATCTTTAACCATGGTGTTCTATAGTTTCTTTGAAGTAAATGTAATGCAAGTTGTTTTTTCAGTAACTATAGACAGAGAAACTTAAAGAAAAAGTAGACGGTTCTGGCCATGCGATTGCACTGTGAAAGAAACGTTGTGGAATCGATCAGAAAAGGTTGATCATCTAGCATTTAAGTGTTGGCATGTACTAGGTTCTGGAATCATCAAAATGATAAGAAATTTAGCCCATGCAGTCTTGGTAAAGTTACAAGCACTGTACACAGAAAGATGTATATGGGACTACACAAACATGTGGCATAAAATTCCGTCCTGATTGTTATGATGTTACATGCCATATTTAATATATTAAGGCATTTGAAGAGCTATGCTTTTCAGGGAACATTTTTTATCTGATGTTCTTCCACAATTGCACAATACAATGATAACGCTCACAAATTTTTGTGCACCTCTTTCCAGAACTCGACCCTCTCTTTAAAGCTTATCTGTACTAGTTTACAGGAGGGATTAGACAGCCCTGCAAAGTCACTGGACAGGTGGTTATCCCATCAACTCAGCTCTCAGTTAACATAAGAAAAAGAGGATCATGGGGGATAAATGGTCACCGATTAGTCATTGTTTGTTATATAGAGGGCGCAAGTAACTACAAGTAGTGCAGTGGGCCTTTAAAGAAAAGTAAGAATTATAATGCAGATTTATTTTACCTCTTGAAGAAGTCTAGTGACCTGAGGGAAGTCTTTCATCTTGTCTCTATCGGCTAGGATCTCACCAAGGTTCTGCTCTACATACGTCTCTCTACTCTTCATCACCTCCAGGATATCACTCAGCTTCTCTGCTTTGGTCGGGTGTGCAGGCTTCTCAGCAACTTTGCTCTGAAAGAAAAAACAAGTCAGAATAACAGTCACGAGGATACTGATAGTATTCATTTCTATACTGCACAAACAATGTCATATATATCACATAAATGAATTACTTTCCAACTGCAAGGAAAGTGACTTGTGACAATAGATAGTGTATTAAGTCTGGTTTACAAAAAAGTTAACTCTGAGCTTTAACAAAATAAACAATTCTGTCTTTCATGCTCTTTCACTGAACTGGACTTACAGTAATTCTTATAGTACTTGATCTTAAAATAACCTCTTATTTGGGGTAGTTGGTCCTGTAGTAGTTGGAATTTCTATGCCAGGATCCCAATTATCAATACTGAGGCAAAGTCTCCAGTTCTACTGTCAATTCTTTCATCTCTGAATTTAACACTACAATACGCATACTTTCCTAAACCCGACCCTAAAACCTGAATGCAACTTTAAAATAAACTTATGAGCCAATGCTTTTTTGGAGCAAATGTCTCATCAACCATTTATGACGTAAAAATCCTCCAGCCCTTACCTTTTGATATGGTTTGAATGGCTTCTGTAGCCTCTGTAGATCCACCTTGTTCTCTCCATAAACGGTAGAATGCTTCAATGCAAGGCGCAGTGACCTCAGGTTGCTCTGGATATCAGGGGCAGTATACACCTCCGGATCATCCGGTGCATCATAGAACATCTCGTAACCTTTGAACTTCTGAGGGACGTTGATGGAGTATACGGCGCTGTCCACCCTGTGTTTCCGGGTCTTGGGTTTGCCTGGGGGTCTAGGGGCCTGAGAGGGGGGCTTTGGTGCATGTTTCTCTTGTTTTGGGGTCTCGTCCTCGGGGTGTTCATCCACCTAGGGAGAACATCAAGGAAGGAAAATTGTAAGAACTACAGAAATTGTATTCATAAATTAGAGCTGAAGTTATGGTCAAATCTACTTTACTGGTCACCTAAACAAGCTACCTATCCACAAAGAAACTTTTCTTATAATTGTTCAGGATGACAGCATGGATGACTACACATGAAAGCTGCTCAATGCCAAATACCCAACTACAAATTGATGCAGTCTGTAAATAGATAAATATGTGCAATATCAAGGCAAAAATAGCTGTCTGATTCAATTCACGATTTATATTAAAGTCTCTTGTAACGTACTGCATAGGATAGTAAATGGTGAGCCATTTATAGGTCACAATCTTTCACTTCTCCTGTGACTGTACAATTCTAGACCAATCCTCTAGCATATCATGAATGAAATCACCCTGATGGCAACAAAACCATTCACCAACGACCAGACCTACAAGTAAAATCAGAATTTTGAAAAATCAGAATATTCCGGATTTTCAGGTCCTAGAAATCCAGAAAAACAGAATATTCCAAATGTTTCGTAAGGTTTGGCAGGTATGCATAATATGCAATAAGAACTTTCAACTTCTTCTACCCTAAAAGATATTTACCTGTGTTAGGAATACAGGTTCATCAGCAGTCTTGTCTTTGGGCTTGGCCTTGGGCTCAGGTCTGGACTCATCTTCAACATCTGATTCACCAAAGCTCTCCTCAGTCCATGTCTTAGTCCTCTCCATCCGCTCCTCTTGATCCTCCCTATCAGGCAATGGATCGGTCCCATCTTGGTTGTTCTGTATGGGTGGTAGAGGCTGTGAGGATGGACGAGTCGATTCCTCCCTGGAGGGGTGTTTTGATTGCTTTGGTGGAGGGGTTTGGGATGTGGATGGAAGGGCTGGTCTGGAGTCTAGGGTAGGACCTTCAAGCATCAGCTGCAGTGGTTTCTTGGGAATGGGTGGAACTATTTCTGCTACCTGCATCAACACAGAAATAACAACAAATCAATAACAATACAACAAGGAAAATCCAAGCTATTTTGTTCATACATTGATACTAACATCTAAAATTTTAGAACAATTGATGCTTGTATTAATTTGCAAGCCCTACTAGAACTTGGCATTATTGACAAGTGACACTATTCTTCTGTAGTTAATACATGTTCATAATACCATTAGACTTGGTGCCTTACGTGACACTAAATGACCATATACCTTGGCCTTGCTCAATAACCCTACCCTAACCCTATTTTCAAGAAAATAAAGCCAGTCCAAATGTCCCCGAAAGAAATATCCGATCATCTTGAAGAGGAGGCGCGATAGCTCAGTTGGTAGAGCAGTGTGAACCGGATTCAAAACCAAGTCGATGCACTAGTGCCCTATGGTAAGGCATTAATCCTCATTATATTCCACATACTAAGAATCTTGCTCTACGATTGGTCAAAAGTAAATCACGTGATGAAAGATAGTTCACCCATTATTTATGGGAGAAGCAAAAAGTTTGTTACACTGTGTAGATAGTACTACTATCTACACAGTGCAATGCACTTTCACTGAAGATAGAGGTACTATCTACACAGGGCAACGCACTATCACTGAAGATTATCCAAAAGCGCACTAAAACAGGCGTAATTAAGCGCGCATTACCAATGAGCACAATTAAACCAAAAACATGCGCGCGCGCCCTACCCTCAAGGGGTTGGGTTAAACTGTTAAACTTTTTTGGTGTGAATTTGGGCATGGTGTCCTTTATGTAGATGCATACACGTCCTTTTCTTTTTGTAGTTAAATTGTTTTAGATGTGGAATATAAAGCAAATAATCACCTTTTGGTTTCAGGCGATGGCAAATTATCACTTCCTCGTCGATCAGGATGTATATACGCTATCTTTCCTCAGCTTCGCTTCGGAAAGATAGCTACATCCAGATCGCCTCGGAGGTGATAAATTGTCCCATCACCTTCACCAACGGTAGTTATTTGCTTACTATCAGGTCCCTCGGAGAGGACCTAAAGCTTACTAACAGGCATTTATACTTTCTTAGCAGCTAGGTAAAATAACCACCACCACTACCAGACTCACCTTTCTATGGGGTTTGTTTGGTACCACAACCGGTGGCTTGGGTACCATGCTGGGCTTCTTCCTGACCATACGGATACCAAGCCTACTGGTTAGGTACCGCTTGAGAAGAGGAGGGTCACCGCTGTTACGGGTGGTGAGGGGGTTGTTATGGATGATGAGTTCCTGAAGCATGGGCCAGCCTGCTACTCCTAGAAGTCCCTCCTCCTCAGATATCTACAAGCAAAGGAAGAGGTGATCGATCTATACTCAATACCAGCTAAACATAACATTAAAACATCATCATCTCAATGATCACTATCTTTAGATCTTAGTTTTAAACCTAATAATAATAATAGCTAGTTCTTATATAGCGCTTTTCAGGACTGAAGGCCCTCTCAAAGCACTATACAGATATATATATTATTACCCCGGTCATCAGATTCAGGCTTACCCACACACAATGTATGCACATTCTCCACTACCTGGGGAGCATTCGAGTCAGTGCACACTTGCTAATCTAAGCATATCAGCTTTCGCACCCTACCAGGTACCTACATGTATTTAACACCTTGGTGGAGAGTGGCAAATGTAGATCAATGTCTTGCCAAAGGACATTAGTGCCGCGGACCTTGTGATCCACAGTTGGGTGACATATCCACTTGTCCACGACACTCGTCCAGGGCATCCTTACAACCATCATCATAACAATCCCAACCACCATCATCATCACCAACGTCATTCTCGTCATGGTCGTGTCGTGGTCGTGTCGTGGTTGAGTGGATACGTCACCCGACTGTCGATCACAAGCTCCGCAGTTCGAGTCCCGCCGCGGCACTAATGTCCTTTGGCAAGACATTGATCTACATTTACCACACTCAAACCAGGTGATGTTAATGGGTACCTGGCAGGAATTAATTCCTTGAAATGCTGGAGCGCTGGATAAACGGCAGCTAGGCTAAAGCCGGGGTAATAATAAATGCGCCTCGGAATAGAATTATCTAGATAGACGGCGCTATAGAAATGCCTATTATTATTATTATTATTATTATTACCACCACTACCACTACCATCACCTCCATCACCAGCATCACCATTATCACTGACCATGTCATCCTACCTTATTATAAGCCAGACTGAGAGATGTAAGCTCAGGGAATGGTGGAAGAAGTTTGTTCATCTCGCCGTCTAAGACATGAGAAGCATCGAAGAGATCACCCTCCTCCTCAATGTCATCAAGAAGGTTGGACATTTCAGAGGCAGCGCCTTTCTCTATAAAAGTCAAAGATGGATAATACAATTAGAATTATCATCTCTTTCTTCATAATTGTAATCATTATTATCATTATATAATAATAATAATAATAATAATAGCCTAATAGTCCACTCCAAATTTTATTAAACCGAAACGGAAATTCTTTTTGCCAAATTGATCGTGAGCCCGGCAGCCACTGAGCAGCGCCAGATCGACGTTGCTCTATTCCTTATTGTTGAATGCCAAACAAGGTAGCAGCCACTCCCATCTTTTAACGTCTTTTGGTATGACGCGGCCGGGGTTCGAACCCACGACCTCCCGGTTGTGAGGCGGACGCTCTACTGACTGAGCCAACACTCCGGTGTTAACTATAATCACCATCATCATCATCATCATAATCGTAACAACAATCATCATCATCATCATCATCATCATAATCGTAACAACAATCATCATCATCATAATCATCATCATAATCATGTTTCTCATTTCTTTGCCCAATATAATGATGACACACTTGTATCAAAGTCCCTTTGATGCTTAGATATGAGTAGTTTATAATACATACTTTGTTATAATGTTAGAATGACAACTAATCAAACCCCAAATACATCCTATAAAAAGAGCAAAAGAAGATTGTACCTAGCTCACTGTCCTGTGGGGTGCCCCGTGGACTACCCTTTGGTGTGGTCCCCTCACTCCTCTCCTCCTGGTCTAGCTCCTTGCTAGTCCCACTCTTTTTCTTTCCCTTCCCGGACCGGGGTCGACCCTTGCGTAGAGTGGAGTCTGATGTACTGTCTACAGCTACTAGACGACCACTCAAAGCTTTTAGATACGGCACAGACACAATCTCATTCTTATCAAGGTTGAGTTGTCGCAGCCTAATAGAGAGGGGGGGGGGAGAGAGAGAGAGAGAGAGAACACACATTAGGAATATATTCATATCTGCTGAAGTATTACTATTTATCTTTTTATTTAGGTTTTATTTCCACATTAACTGCATATAAAAAGAATTTACAAAGTAAGGCATATACAAGGTAACAAAACATTCACATAATATTTGATAGATACAACAGTAAAAAAAAGATTTAATGGCAAGTCATTAAATACAAATGATGCTAACAATAATCTGCAGTAATGAGGAGGAAACCTTGGAAGCATTATGCTTGTAATTAAGGTTCCCTTTACATAATACGTTTGTTACATAACATATAACTATCTGAAACAACTTGTGTTAGTTATATTGCTATAATAATAAGAACTTTATAAGAGCACATATATTTCCATACAAAATCTAAAAGTATCCTCATGAAATATGACATGTACTTGATATGAGGTACTTGATAAAATATTCCTACTCACTTTCTAAGTCCAGCTAGACTGGTGAATATGGCAAGATCATGTAAGGCATTGTCATCTAGGTTCAGGATCTCTAGCTTAGAGAACCTTGGCATTCGACTGGACTCAGAGTCACTGAAAAAAAAAATGTATATTAAAATTTTGTTATTAAACAAAGGATACACAGGAGGTATATGCAGGGATACATATATACAGAGATGTATATACAGGCAGTGAGAAAGATGGGAGGGGGAGAGGGAGGGGGGAGACTCTAAGTGGGAGAGGGAGGGAGACTTCAAGTGGGAGAGAGAGAGAGATAGAGTCAGGCAGAAAGTGAGATGGACATTTTAAATTTGAACATGAGTTGATTCTGAATAGCAGGAACAATATTATCAACTTCTAAAATCCTCTATTCTGGCAACTGGATAAGTTATTTTATAATGGGAGAAAAACAAGGAAAATATTAAGATGTAAACATTAATATAATATATACCCTAAATGAATAGCATACATGGTACACACAACCCTTACTGTAAACACATTTGAAATCAATTGCACAAATGAAAATATAGAGCTAAAATAAAGTATGGTTTAAGTAAAATAAAATTAATGATGGCTGATGTAGATTATGAAGCTCAGATTTCTCTGTAGTTCAACTCTGCTGTTCTCTTACATTCAGCTTGGCCACATCAGGATTGTAGAGGGCAGTATACCAGCAAGGGGCTGACATCAACAGTAATTGATGCTATAATGAAGATACAAATTACTGGAGAAACCAGCCCTTGCTGGCGTACCATGAGAGCATGGAAGACACTGTCCCACTGTCCATTCTAGCTAGCTAGGTCACCATTGAGATGGGTGAAGTGAGGGAGTCCTCGGTGCTATACAGGATGTACAGCTTCCACAAAGCTAGCTTGCATGAGAAGCCTTCATGTACCAAGCAGACCTTTCCTGATACATCCCACCCACATGTTTTTACCCAAAATGTTACTACAAAGAAGTCTTTTTTTCCATAGAATGCTTTTTTGAGGTGGTCTTTTGAGTGGAGTAGAAATACTTTTAAGTGACAAGCCAGTAATTTACACAATTATTTAGTTAGTTATACAGCAGTCATTTACACACATACTGACTGTAGACATCTTCTTTGCAGAGAATAACAGGTTTGGTAATTCTCCCCACATAGGATAAAAAGATAGATCACTCAACCTTTGGTAACAAAAAAAAAAAAGGATTTGGGGAATAAACAAATTGCATTTAACAACATTCCTCCTTTTGAGTAAGAAATATTTTTTTAAAATTGGGAAAAAATCAGTAAAAATCAGGAAGAAAAAAAAAAAAAAAATCAGGAAGAAAAAAAGAAAATCAGTAAAAAATTGTTTTAAAAAAAAAATCTTGGAAGAAAAAAAAAAAATCAGGAAACCGATTTAAATTGGGTAATTATCAGGCCTGGTTAACAGCCTGGAAGCTAGAGCTCATACCTTATTTGTATTTTGAACGGTTTGCCCATCTCAGGAGGTAATGATCTAAGCTGGTTCCCTGTGAGGTACAGCACCTTGAGGCTGGTGAGCAGACCAAGATTACCCACATCATCCTTAGAGAGATTGTTGTGTGATAGATCCAATACCTAGACAGACAGTCAAAAGAATGGGAACAGAAATGATAAACAGCACCAAATAAAGAAAGAATGAGGCCGTAAGATTGCCCAGTGGTAGAGCAGTCTTGTAACCTTGAGGTTCCAGGTATGAAACGATGACAATGTGTTAGTACCCTTTGGAAAGGCATTCATCATCCCTGGGCCGGATTGGACATAAATCAGTACATCCTCTGGACGCTTCCAGGCCTACAATCAAAAGAAAAAAAGATGACCAATCTTTAATATAGCGTTGGTGTTCACACAATTCAGACAGACATCAAGACTTAATTAAATCTGTTGTACCACAAATTCTTTCTAATATGATCTCATATTCAGAATTGAAGAACAATTCAAGATCTCAATATGCAAGCCGGATAACAAACCTATAAAGTTTTCAAGCACCACCATGAAGTTGGATCACACCAGATGTTATGTCCTACTGGTATTCAGATGAGAACTATCAATGCAAGATCAGCTATCCAGCGAGTTAGATGTAAGAGTGAAGTAGGTACACCTTCCTCTCTTCTGCTTCTTATATAGAAGAGTATGCTTTGCAAAGAGCTACTTCAGATTTCTAATGTTGGGTGGGATGGTTTACTTATACACCTACACCACCTTGGTGGGGGAGAGGGAATGAATATGAAATTCATAAAGTAAGAAGATCATCATAAAAAACAATAGCAATGGAAAACCCCTTCCTAGACCCCTATTCATGAGGCATAAAGCACACAATAGTTGTAGGTGTACTCAGGTGTGTAGTCTGTACTTGGTAGGGGAGGAGGGTCTGATTGGGAATGGGTCCCCTGGAGACAAGGGCACAAAGGAGGCTCGAAATGGCGCGCAATACCCCCTAGAGAGAAGTGACGCTGTACCCTTGACAATGGATTCAACAACTAACAATGGCTACTTGCAAACAGCAATGGAAACATTCAAACATGTCTCTATAGAGTGCACAGGGACAAGATACTTGTTCTAAATTTTATATTTTGGGAGATTTCCTTCATGATTTTACATTCTTGTACAGATCTCTTATTTGCAATGTTATTTTGGATTTTATACCTTTGTGGGGGAGGTAGCCTTTACAGCCTTTGATGGCCGGGAAGCATTTTCAGAGTTGCTATGCAGTGAGCATCTTCTTACATTGTTGTCAAGCACAACATTGTATAATGGTATCACAATACTACCATTTTATAACAATCATACAAAAGGATATATTGTGAGACACAAAAAATAAAAAATTCAATTAGAACACATATCTTTTCAAATATCGAATGCTGAAAATAGCAACAAGTGCAAGCCATAAAACTTATTGACTTGTGACAATGAAATAGCAGACGGAAATGGCGGGAAATTCATAACAGAGCAATCAATAGGCAATATTTGTTGGCAACCTGTAGTATTTCTTAATCCCATAGAAACTACACATATTGAGAACATCACAAGTAGACACATTCAAGCTTTGTGAATATTTGAATACCACAAACACTGAGAAAACGACAATTCTTGTGGTTTATTCTTCAATATCCTTCAAAAAGTATCTCAAGTGGACTACACATTAAAGCTCTGTATTGAATACGAAAGAATATTATACTGTTCTGATATTTGATGCTATCGATAATTCTATTCTATATTTGATAGAAATCAATACAGCCCAAACAAAAATGCTTTCATCCGAACCAATGAAGCAAACAATTCAAGCATGACAATCAATTACTAGATAGCTAGGCGGCAAAACTGCCCTACATTCACTCAACTGGGCTAGCTGATAACCGATCAAATTGAAAATGGGGTAACATTGGCTAGCTCTTTGTGCTAATTCAGTGCATAGACCACAAGCCCATGTCATTCGGACCAAATGAAACTTTCCTGAACAACCATTTTCTCTCTCTCTCTCTCCCCCTCTCTCTCTATCTCTCTTTCTCTCTTTATCTCTTTCTCTCTCTTCCCCTCTCTCTCTTTCTTTCTCTCTCTCTCTCTCTCTCTCTTTATCTCTTTATCTCTTTCTCTCTCTTCCCCTCTCTCTCTTTCTTTCTCTCTTCTCTCTCTCTCTCTCTCTCTCTCTCTGTTAACACATGCCCACAATGTATGCAAAAACATTTTTTCTTTCTTGTTCCCCACATATGAAACAAATCCAATCCTTTATCAAAACTTGAGTAATTTCATGGACATGTTTGAAAATTTTCCACCCAAAACAAATGAATACCTGTAGCCTCTCACAAAGGAAATCACACAGTAGCTTATGATGCATAGAGATCTTCCATACTTCAAAGCTCATATTTCTCTACACACATGTGAATCATGTTATCATGGTGTAAGAAGCATGACCTATGTTAGGTGTCCAGTAAGAGACAAAAGTTCCTTGATTTGAAATAAAGAATTGATATTTAGAACAACGTTGCACCATGCACTTTCTCCTCTAACAGTGACTCAAGCATGCATGCATCTCTAATTTGTTTAGGATTTATTCAAATCAAATTATTGCAAGGGTAGACTTTCAATTGACTTTATCTACATCTAGAGATCTCTTGAGTGAGAATATCAAACTTACCTCCAGATAAGGGAAATGATTGTAGTCTAAATGAATACCTCTCAAGCCATTGAGAGGCAGCTCTAGCTCACGTATGATTGGGAAATGGTTGAAGGCATCTGTGAACAATCAAAACAGAGATAAAGAAAAATTGAATTTCAATATTTGATAATGTTAGCATTTTATAAGAGTTGCTTTCTGTTTTTGCCAATTACAATCTGTACATTTCAAACACAAACTTGTGTCATTTAGAACAATTCATTTTAAAACTATTCACTTCAAACATACTTCAAGCTATCACAGAAAATATGAGAAGGATGTATAAACTATGTAAATGTAATAAATAATAACTGCAAGCAGTTTCCTTCTTTCATTTCAAATGAACTTCTATTTTGAGAAAGAAAATCAAATCTCCATTTCACAATCTTCTTGATCACTCAAACAGGAATTTCTATAAAACAGGTCAATGATATGACATGGCATCATTCAACATTGGTTGGCTGGTTGGTTTGTTTTACTTGCATGACTACTAAGAAATCATGTGTATTCTTATAGGTAAGCAACCAGGGGACCAACAGCTTTAAATTCCCCCTGAAGGACTTGGTAGCAAGGGTTAATGCCTTACCGAAGGGCATTAGTGCATCAAATTGGTTTTGAACTCGGGACCTCCCGGTTAGGAGACCACTGCTCTACCACTGAGCCATCACGCCTCCTTAAGAGGTTTTATTTTTCATATTATTACTTCTTAAAGCTTGACACATCAAAACTCACTTTCAATTTACAATTTTTTTGTAAAGGCATTATCCTTATTATTGTTAGAGTGTACATGCATGTACATTTGTGCACAGGATATATTTCTTTCCTCCTGATTCAATATTTAAGGATGGATTAAGATTCAACTTACCAAATGGTAGCAGGTTTTCACCAGCATTGACGTACGCAACATTAATGAAGAGTTCAAAATCTTCTTGCTTGACCTCAGTCAAATCCTGTCCAGATATATTGATGGAGCACAGATCGGTCGGGTCTTCAACGCAACAGTGTGTCAACTACATGTACAGATTTGAAGATGGTATGGGACAGAAATAGAAAGGGGGAGAGGGGGAGGGAGGGAGGGAGGGAGGGGTAGGGAGGAAGGGATAGTGAGGAAAAGGGGAGGAGAGAGAGAGAGAGAGAGGGGGGGGGGGAAAGATTGATAATTTAAGTAAGATTAGTATTGAAATTGCACTATTGAATATTACTGCAATATCATGGATTATTATGATTTGATTTGGCAAATAATGACATGAAAAAAAAGAGAAAAAAGCTACACTATTACCAATACCGGTATACTGTTTCAACAAAGTAAATTTCTCCGTCAAGTCAATACCCATATTAATTTACCAATTGTTCAATATTTTTGTTTCATTTCCACTCCTTCAACTTTTTTACTCAAAGGCATTGTTAAATCTGAGATGCATGGCCCTATGTTATCAGTGTCTGTGATATGATATTGAAGCCAAAAACAAATTGCGCCTTAAAATGATCATGAAGTGCCTCAAATAAGTAAACATCTTTGAGTGACCGGTTTTTCCATTAAAGGTACTCATTTTTCCCTGAATCCCTATAGACTTTAGTGTTATAAAATCTGTTAGGAAAACGAAAAATGAAATTTCGATTTCCAATCAAAAATATCTTGATAATCAGACAGGCGATCGGCTTGTAAAAGTCATGGGATTTCTGACTGACCTAAAGGTTTATAATTATGATTGCAGCATGAGCTAAATCCAGGATTTTGTTTCAGAATCTGAGGCAATTTAAGACACATGAGTATCCAATGATTTTCCTAAATGAATGATTTTATCCATTCTATCATCATCTCATATTTTTCACAAAATCCTTCTATTAACAAAACTTAAATACTTTCAAAGATATTGTAAGGACCCACAATTTGCCAACGTATTCCAAATACATTCAACCTTTAACATAGAGATGTGAGTATATCGCTCACATTATCTACAGTTTCGATCAACAAAAGTTTGTTTGAGTAAATGAGTAAAATCTCACCAAAAAGAATCCATCCAAAACTCCAGGAGTTGTGCTCTCCTCTTCTTCATCTTGTTTGATTCCGTCCCTGTTTGCTCTTCTTTCTTCTTTCTCCTTCTGCTTGCGTTCATACTTGAGCTGTGCGTATGTCTTAGGTTCTGCAGTGGGTTGATGGGTTAAGTGTCGAATTTGTTCTGTCCTATGAGCAACCAACCATGCTCCAGCTGAATTAAAAAAGATACAAAATAGGAAACTAGAGGTTGAAACGCAAACCTTAAAGCGGGACTGCAATACTTCAAGCTACTTGCGCCCTCTATTCGGCAATGCCTAAGTGCGGTATCCGTTGGTCCCCCATGATCCTCTTTTACTTGTGTTAATTGAGAGCTGATTTGATGAGATAACCACCTGTCAGTGACTATGCAGGGAGGTCTAATCCCTCCTGGCTAAAATACATGTAGTGTAGATAGAATTTCATGTTTGTAACATGAAATGTAATTAAAAGTGTTTGATATATTGACTTTTAAGGAAAATTAAGATTCTGTATATACTCTTGAGCTAAACAAGAAACTACACTGTAGTCTGTACATGTAGATTTTGCATTCTTGAACATAAATTTAGAAGTTGCGATGGAATTACAGAGCCTTTGAATGCAGGTTTTCCGGTAATGGGGACATGCATAAAATCTGCTTCTTTTAATTTTGAACAAAGCTTAAGTTATAAAGATCTTTTTCGTCACAACAATTTATTTGATGCTAGCTAGCACTATCAAAGAAAAAGATCTCACATCAAATTTTTAATTTCAGTATCTTTTCTCCATAAATGTTGCATTTTAATGCATCAAATGTTTGAAAAAATCAATGTTTGCTTGGCACATTGACTATCATGTCTACTTCTTTTGAAAACTAGTTAAATTCTAGGTTAGGGAAAGTGCCACACCCACCCCCATTCCTGGCTGCCCACCAGTAGAATCTAGTGGATGTATGGCCCTGGGTTACAAAGGAAGCAATTACAGCTTAATTGAAAGTGCTGTGTTTGGAATCTTCAAATCTACCATTTTAATTTAACTGTCTGGTCTCTGGATACACAATTTGTCAGGGGGACCAGGGCAGCGTTTCATAAAACCGTCATAAGTAAAAGTTCAGCGACATCCCATTGAAGCGCGTGTTAAACTTAGTACACGCATGTCAATGGGGTGTCGCCGAACTTGTACTTATGATGGTTTCGTGAGACGCAGCCCAGACGTCAGACTCACAACATCTGGGTATATTTATACATGTAATGGTTAAGACTTCGACTAACTTAAGTTTCTGTCCATTTTCAGTGATTTTGTATGCAACTTTTCATTCCCTACCCGCACCGGCCTCCAGTTAAAAACTCTGACGAGTATTTTGGAGGACCGACCAACCAACCAAGAACCATGAAATTGAAAGACAAGAATGCAGAAATATTTTTTGTTTTTATTAGTAAAATAAGCACGAGTGATAAATACTAAAAATGTTTGGCAATGTCTTTTTCCATTGGGTCATGCAATGATGATAAAGCATTATCTGCCAGGCACCAGCAACATTTCATCAACATTCCACTTTCTTCATCGCACGTACTGCACTCACTGCGATTAATATTCACTCAGCTCAGCTAGCTCAGCCGTGCATATGCATCCCAACTCTTTCCGGATTCAGTGCGTGCACTCTTGTTTACAAAAGTAGCCGACATTAGAAAACGCGCAACATCGTCAAATTTGTACTATTTTGCCATAATATGGAAAAACATGATCATATATTCTCACCACTATCAGACGATCCAAATATCTGTCGAACAGGAAAGCTGTTAGAAACAAAATGACTGCTCCCTTCCTCTAGTTTGATGCCAGCAGGCACAGCCATATTGCGACATTGCTCTTCCCTTGGTTTATTGTCATGACAACATTGCCATTGTTTACATGAAAATAACCGGTATTGTCAAAGAGTATCCCCTGCGTAGTTTATGATATGAAAGAATAGTTTCAAATAATAGTAACTCTACGGGTGGTCTTTAGTGGTATTCCTTTTAACAATTTTCTGATAGGGTGTTTCATCCACTTATTTTCTCATGTAACCAGGAAACAAACACAACATCTATCCGAACTGATCAATTAACCGAAAGGGTCTTATTTGCAATCCGGCCGTGTCACCGTGAACCTTGAACCGAATTCGTACCATTTTGTTTATTTACTTCCGGTTCGTTCCATAAGATCGAGGTTACGATAGGCGAGAGTGATCAAGACGAATCAATAACATAATAGGATCTACGCAGTGAGTTTGCTGCTTCTTTACTTTTATCATCATACTGAATATCAGTAGAACATGTTTATAAGTAATTGAAAAACAGTTTGGTAAGTTTTATTTTTAAACAATTTAGTATGAAAGCGCTCTCTGACGACGTGTGATTTTAGAGCTGTCGCGCGTCATTGCAGTTTCCAAATTTGCGCTTTGCCACCGGGCTTTGACCCGTAACTCTGGCGTGGAGATACCCTACTAAAACATACCAAAAAATCGACCAAATCTTCATCAATTGTTCAAATAATGATCATGATTTAAAATTTGTTATGTTTCTTACTTGTTTCGTGTCAATTTCCTTATTTTCTTTGAAGCATTTTTCCTTTAAGCATGTTAAGCAAAGACATTATAATGTGCACTTTCTCACGTGCACACTCACAGTCACAGATTCACGGCAAACCGCTGTGTAGCGTACCGACGGTGGGGTGCGGGGCCTGGAGCGCGCATGTGTGAAGTTAGCCACTGTAATCTCAGATCATCATAAGGGTCTTTAATTTCATGCATGCGCCCTCCCCCCCCCCCCCCCCCCCCAACAGGTGCTGATTCTCACCTGTTTTTAATTGTGTACACATATTGACATAACACTGTCTTGGAAAAGAAATGAGACTGTATCATCATAGATCTCACGTTTCCCCCCTATAAATAGGGTGTCTGAACGATTTTTCAATTTTCAATTTGGGATCGTTTTTCACCATTTTTGTTTGATATTTGAATAAAAAATGTTATCAGAATAATACATTTCAAATTTCAAGTCTCACCGATGTTTCTATCAAAAGTTACAGCCCCTCCAACACGCTGGTATATTCATATCATTTTGGTCAAAATCGTCGAAAAAGACGTCCACGCAGAGTGATGTTGTTTTGCTAAATTTAGCCAAACAGCTGTATCGCGCGATATGCAAGCGTATGCATATCGTACGCATGCTGCTAAGCCAATCCGCGACTTGCAGCTTGAGCTACGCTGTCTCCGCGACATGTGCGATTGACTAGTATGGTTGGCGTTCGTCGCACAATAAACCCGGAAGTGAATGCACGTTATAGTCAATGGCAATATCGCGGAGACAACGCACGTTGTCTCCGCGATATTGCCATTGACTATAACGTGTATTCACTTCCGGGTTTATCGAGGGAATTTCCAACCATAATTTCAGTCACTTGAATTTGGGGTTTCGTTCGTGCGCGGAGATGTTACGCGATGTAACCATGGTTTGGACTGAGCGGAGCGCACGCCCCCTCATTAGCTGATCCACCAAATAGCGAGAAGGGTATTTTTAAACTGTTATCAGTTGTGATCCCTGGGGGCTAGCGAAAATATAATCACATAGAATTGTTCCTTAGGACTGGGACTACTTATCGATCGGGGCGTCATATCTCAAAAGTGACAAACCTCAGAGTTAGCCAGGACACAATGTTTAAATTGCTGTTTTGACCAAGATATTTTTAGAATTTCGGGGGCTACGCCCCTTTGGAAATATTGGAATTCACCTGCTCTTTCATATGACACCTCATTCATTGATTATCACCTTCAGGATCACAACTGATAAAGGTTTGAATCTCGATTTGAAAAAAAAAAATTGACTTTTTTTGCATGGTCGCGCAATGCACGTAGGCTGCATAGGGATGCGTGTAATCTCTATGGGAAGCATTTTAGCACACAACATCGGGTGCGCGATCAGACACCCTACTATAAATTCATTTTCATTCTTGTAGTCACTACAAGAATGGGGCCAGGAATCAAGGACTCCCATTCTCACAGCAGGGGCAGAGAAAGAAGCTACAGTCCAGACCGCAAGTCTAGCAAGAAGACGAGACGAGAGGAGTCAAGACACCACAGGAGCAGGTCTAGATCAGATTCAAGAGACCGTTCAAATGGAGACAGGTATAAATCCAGCAGAGCTAGAAACAGATCTAGGTCCAAGTCCAGAGAAAGAAGGCGTAGCAGAGAACGAAGGAGATCATCCTCAAATAGCGACAGTTCGGACAGTTCTCGAGACTCTAGATCACCACCACCAAGGGAAAGGTATAGAAGAGACAGTCCTGGAGACGCTAGATCACCAGCAAGGGAAAGGTACAGAAGAGACAGTCCTGTACAGAACTCATACGGGAGAAACAGATCCCCACCTCGAAGGACACAATCAGTGAATGATAATAGCAGAGATAGAAGAGATTCACACAGAGGTGAAGGGGGCAGGAAGCGAGAATCAAGATTCGACAAGGGATTTGATAGAGAACAGTTTGAAAAGGATCTCAACTCCAAAATCGCAAAGTACAGGGACGACATCAATCAAAACGGGGGTAAAGCTGATAACGCTTCACATCAGAATGGACACCACCGCAGACGTGATGACAACAATGATCAGCTAAATCTTTTCTTTGAGAGGTGAGGTTGTAAGAGATCAGAGATGTTCTAATAGTGCTGGCAAATGCTTCTTATGGAAATGCAAATTTGCTTTCTACAGACAATTATGTTGGACTATTTTTACTCTAAGAAACTAAATTAACTTATGTATCAGGTGGTGTATAACGGAGGGAATTATATTTTACATGTCTGTATGTTTCATAAATTTATTATTAAGTATTAAGCATCTTGTGTTTTCTCTGTATGACTGTAAGACTGGCTTGTTAAAGTAACAATTTCATATAACCTGACATCCACACATTCTGCACTACGTCTTAAGTCGCAAACTGACAATTGAACTTATATCTTGGAAGACGACCGGGAGACCTACATGTACAGGACTACCTCACTCCCGTGTATCGATGATGATGATGTACATGTAAGATATCCATTTAAAATAGTGTCTTAGAAAGCAAAGCATTCACCAGGATATATTCTTTACTTTCAGGAGAGGGCAAGAGCGACAGAAGATATCAGCCATGGGAATGCTTGAGGTATGGGGTGCATCTCCAGAGAAACCAGAGGACGAGTAAGCATTTACAAATAAGTTAATGATAAGTAAGATGGTAGATACAGTCTATGTTCTTGCCAACAAAGGTTTTTTTTCTTTCACAGTGGCAAAACCCTCTGAGGCAAAATAATAGATAACATGCTCATTGCAGCAACAGCTAAACTCAGAGGAATAATGTTCAAAGCTCTTTGGAAGCACATAGCAAAGTTATATCCGAATGTGACATGCACTATACCAGAATATGATTGTTTTTCTTTGATTCACAAGTAGATATATTCTTTTCAGAAAGAGAAATTCTATTTAGCGGACCTTTTGTTCTTATATAGTTCTGATGCAGCAGCTGAACAAGAGGAAGCAGAGCAGGAGGAGGGTTCAGGGAGCAGCGGGAGTGAAGCTGATAGCGAAGGTTAGTTTCTATATACGTGCCACTCTCAACCCAGGTGTTGGAAGTAGTTTATTTAATGCTTGCAGCAGCTTTTGGCAGCTTAGATGCAGCCAGGGTATTGGTAATACTTTGTGAATGCTCTTGAGTATCCTCTTGGATTGATATGTATGCAGTATAAATGTAGCTAATAGTTTTTATTACTGTATTCTCCAATTTCCTCGTGGACCTTCATTAGAGAAAGCGGCAGATTGAAACAACAAGTAAACCTTATGGCACTGGTTTTTTTAACATATACCAAATGTGTCCACAATAGGGTCTGAAATGAAATCATGTTTACTCACTTCAAACATGTATTTTTAGGATCAGGACTATTCATATTTTTGAGAAATGCAAATTTTGGACCTTAATCTATCTCCTTATTTATTCACCAGATATGAATACTTTGAGTTTTTACAATTTTATTGTGAACTATAGCATATCTAATAACTGTGATATAAAACCCATTTGCTATCAACTTCACCAACAAATATGTTGGTCTTTAAGAATATGTTTCAGAGATTATTCATGCAAACTTTTGAGTTTCTATCTTGAAAAATACAGATTTTGTGTCCCTTGAAAGTGAAAAATAGCTCCAAATTAGGGTTTTGACAATAACAAGTTTTTATTTCAATAGGTAAAATGCTTTTTTCTTAGGTCAAACTTATTTTATTATACCAAGTGATGATATAAGTAAAATACATCCAAAGAAATTGGGGAACCAGTGCATTTCCTAATAATTTTCATATGTCACACCACTGGTGTTTCGGACGTTACACACTGTTAACATCATACCTTTATTCAAGTTAATTGCTTTCTTTAGGTATTATTGACCTAAGTTACATTAATTGTTTGCAGAAAATATTTCTATAACATTTATTGAAAAACTTGTGCAGTTTTTAATTCGTTTTGCACATATACCTAGTTTGTCTTCATCGACTACTCAATTTATGTAAGGTATACTGTTCATTTCAGGAACGTGTAGTTAAAAATGCTTATGTGATCTAACAAAGTGAGATATGAAGCTAATAGCAATTGTAGTCATCACAACTCCTAGAAAAGTCACTTACAAACATACTCTCTTTTGCAGGTTATGAACATCAGTGTACAATATACAGTGTATGCTATAGTTTGTTTCGGATGTTACACGATGTGAACATTTCAATCAGATCATCAATTTCTACAAACTTAACAACATAGATGTTTAATCGACTTGCTTTGTACTTTGCCTTAAACTAGATTCATTAAGTGTGTCATTCAATAATATCACTATCACATACATGTACAGTATGTACTGTGTAAGCAAAACATTACAAAAATACTTTTAACAAATAAAAGTATACAAAAGTATCCCCAGCCATTTAAGTAATAAAAAATATGGGAATCCTAATTCATTGTACATCCCGATATTTTTGCATAAATTTGAAGAAGATACTATATCTTTAGGATCATGAAATGATCATTAACATGTACATTTTGTTAAGAGGGTCAAGCATTTGAAAAGTATTTGTACATAAGGCTAGTACATTTGAGGGTGATTCATCCAATGAAAGGAAAAAATTATGAATTGATTAATTTTGAAGAGGCTACACCTTATTTTCATGTTCATGCTTTAATTACCCCCACAAATTGGTAATCCATTTTTTTGTCATTTGGAAATTTGGCAGATCTACAGCTATGTGAACATTATGTTGTACAAGTTTCTATAATAGGAATCGGATACTGATTACTGATTATTGTTTTATAATGGAAGCCTTTGTGCTCATCAATTGTACATGTATGCAACCAATGAGTGTGTCATGTAGTGTGCAAGCCAATTTCAAAAAATTGCTTGATAAATTGTTATCATTATTAAGCGTAAATGCCTATTCCAGTTTTGGATAATGGCAGTAGTAATCCTTTCTACACAGATTAGTAACATGTACTGAGTGCCCTTTTTAAAATGTATTTTCAGATGAAAATACATATTTCCCATAATTTTTTTAGAATTTTTTTTTAATTTGCCTGATTTTATCAACTTCATATACCTGCATCATATCCATGTCATGACCATGTACACTGGGTATTGCTTAAGTGGGTGATTTTGATTTTTGTAACCTACAGTACCAGATAGTGTAAATTGACCATACAATCTTTGGTTATATGACATCATTTGGAACAACCTCTATAAAAATGAAAACCTCATGATTTGCAAACACACACCAATGTAAATAGCAATTGAAATTTGATATTCTCACATCTATCATTGCCCCTCATTTGAACTATTTAAAGTATGAAAATGTCTGTTAACAGTTAAATGTAACGTCCGCAACGTGATAACAGCATAACAGAAAGTGATGTTAAAGTGGCTGAATATTTGTTATGAGTCACTTTTGTTGAGATTTTTTCTGATAAATTACAATTAAGGATATACTGAAGCAGCCAGCCATGCCTTGCATCACAAAGTGTGGCTTCAATATTTTATGTTTTATAAGTCAATTTTGCAGAAAATTTAGATATTTTACGGATTATTTGATTTTTAGCATCGTATTTCTAAACATTTTTATATTTAAATCTAAATAAAATCATCAAAATAGTGTTTTTAACAGGAGTTTCCATTGTGAAATGGTAACTTGCAGATATGATGGATGATAGCAGAATTTTTTTTATAGAGACAGACTAAAAGTATGGAACATGATATAACACTTATAGATGTTTATAAATGGTGATCACTTAAATGACTTCTGAATCTTAAAGAGGAGGTTGAGTTCTGGGGAGAGGTGAAAAAAGAATTTGTGAGCGTTTTCATTGTTATTATGCAAGTGTGGAAGAACATAAAAATAATAATAATAATAAAGTCATTTTTATATAGCGCATAATAATAAATTCTCTATGTGCTTTACAACAATCAATTATACAATGAATTACATGATTAATCTAAAGATTTAAATACGCATGAATTAACAGAATTAGATATCGTATACAACAACAAAAATTAGAAAAAATGTTTCCTGAAAAGCATGGCTCTTCAAATGCCTTCATATTCTAAATATGACATGTAACAGCTTAAAAATGAGGACAACATTCTTATCACATGTTTGAGTAGTCCCATATAAATTTTTCTGTGTACAGTGCTTGTTACTTTTACCAGGACTGGGACAATCAACATGTAAAGAAAGCATCCCTTCTATTTACTGATATGTTCTTTACTTCTTTTTCCAGAGGAGAAACGAAGAAAGAGAAAGGAAAGGAAAAGGAAGAGGAGAGCAAAGGAAAAGAAAAAGAAGAAGAAATCAAAGAAGAGGTATGTTTAACGAACAAGCAATTAATTATACAGTAGGCTTGCGGATGCACCATGTGATAGAGTGGGAGGATTGAGGAGTCCTGAAAAGGATTCTCGGTAATCTTTCTTGAGGGTGTGTAGTCCTGAAAAGGACTGTTGGTGTAGTCTTGAAAAAGATTGTTGGTTATCTTTCTTAGCTTACAGTTTTAAGGAGAACTATAGCGCGTGGAGAGGATGGGTGGCGGAAATGGCTCGACGTTTCGAACAGGTTGACTATCCATCGTCAGGATCCTGACGACGGATAGTCAACCTGTTCGACTTAGAACTGTAAGCTATTTGATGTATGTATGTATTATTTATATACACAGTAAGAAGATGAAGAAGAAAGCCACCAGTGATGATGAGGATGACTCGGATTCAGATGATTCTGACAAAGCTGAAGACGATGAGGAGCAGTGGGTCGAAGTTTCCAAAAGTAAGATATCAAATTGTGTTAAATCCTCAATTTTCATCTTGCTCAAGCATTGCTGTTTGTTGGTCAGTAGTGGATATTATAGAAAAAATGATGAATGTAACTTCAATAATTGTAACCAATGCCTATCATTGTGTTTTAGAACTTTTACAGTTTTATTGTAAATATCATCAGCGCATCAAAAGGTGAAGAGTAAGTTACTTACAATAGCCAACATATCATTGTAATGAACAAATATGTGGTTGTGTTTCCTATGAACAATATGCCAGTCCTCCCAGGGGACATTTCTCCTTTGATTTTCTTCCAAACGGACATATAAAGAATGATGAAGCTAAGATTTTTTTTTCATCATGACCAGAACTTGAGCTTCTCTTTGAATGGATGAAATAAATTAAAAGCCTGTTTTATGTATTATTTTCATGGAAAAATGGTTTGGAAAATTCTAAAACTGGTTGGGAGAATTTACTGTTAAAGGGGTTACACATTGACACCTTGAAAGAAATCCATAAATGGCTTTGTGGTTTGAGAATTTTCTCAGGATTTTTTGCATGTTAGAGGGTAAGTACAGTAGAAGAAATATAATAAAGTAACATTTCAAACAAAATTACACAGTTTTTGTTATCAATTTTCAACAATGTTTAGCAGTTCACATTAGTAGAGGGACCCCGTACATGTAGTTACCATAGGCAGTGTGTTGAATGTTATTCATTTTGTTTTGTAGCAGGGAGACAAGGAGACAGTGAGATGATCGGTCCAATGCCGGCCAGCGCTTCATTCTCAGCAGCAAGTTACATGGAGTAAGTAATAGAGTACCCAAGCTGTGACATCATCAAAATCTGTTCTTAGAATTTCTCAATTTTTTCTTCATCTTTCGAAAGAGCATACAAATAATGTGCAAATGTCGAAACCAGTTGAAAATGTTAAGTATTGGCTGAGATATGACCATCTGAATGAATAGATTTTTTATATTATTATTATATATTATTATTATTATTATAGATTTCCTACAGGAGCTCAGTGTTATATTGCTCTGATTCATAAAGTTATCATGAATAGGTTGTATCCGCTTTTCCTAAGTCAACAACATGAATTGTGCCAGCAGACATTAAACAAGGGAGGCTGGTGGTGGGGGCGTGATATTATTGGGCAATGATTGGATAGACATGGCCAAAGAGGAGGATTGAATACCAGAGTTTTATGGCATTTATTTGCCTTGAGCAAGATGTTGAGTAATTTTCTTTGCCCACCTCTTCTCTCTCCCTCTGTCTCTCTCTTTCTCTGTCTCTCTCTGTCTCTGTCTCTCTCTCTCTCTCTCTCTCTATCTCTCTCTCTCTCTCTTTCTCTCTCTTCCCTCTCTCTCTCTCTCTCTCTCTCTCTCTCTGTAGCTTTGGTAAAGCCCTGCTACCTGGTGAAGGTGCTGCTATGGCCGCCTTTGTTCAGGATGGTAAGAGAATCCCTCGCCGTGGTGAGATTGGTCTGACTAGTTGTGAGATCTCAAGCTATGAGGATGTCGGCTACGTCATGAGCGGTAGCAGGTTAGTCTTCATTATCCTTACTCAAGAACCTTACTTTCATTCTTTAATAATTCATGTTAACCAAGGGGTGTTTCACAAAGATTTGAAGTCGAACTTAACTATAACTTGGACTTAGATATCATGGAGAGCCATTAGTTGCCTTATTTTGAAATATATCCAAAAGCAAAAATTCAAGTATTTTAAACTTTTCATAAATTCCACATCAAGAGCATGAAACCTCCTATGATAATAGAAAATATGAATGATTTGAATCAGCATTTTATGCCTTTTAAAATAACTTTTAAAAAATATGGCTTTCCATAATTGTTAAGTTCAACTTAGGATCTTTGTGAAACACCCCCCAGGGCCCCATCTTATTGACCCAAATCAATCGCAAGTCCTCCACAATCGCAAGTTTGCAGTCTCCTATCTCCTATGTACATAGTTGCCATTGATATTAATCACAAATAAGTTGCAATTGATATCAACTCTTTATAAGACGGGGCCCAGATCAACTAAATATATCTCTACCTGGCATTCTGTGGCTGAACATTTTAAAAACACGAAGGAAAACAAAGGAATTACATAAAATCCTGACACTCTGCTGCATCAATGTACACGTATCCCTTTGTTTAAAGGGATAGATTTTGCAATTTCTCTAAAGACAAAGGTAATATGAGAAGCTGATATTTTAATGTAATGAAAATGGAATTGAGCTGGATGGGTTGTGTGTTGGAAAGGGAAGATGATGAACCTTTGAAAAGAGCTTGGAAGTATAAGAATTTATTGTCCTTTACAGGAAATTTGTTTTCCACTGGTTACAGAGTATTACAATACAAATAATACATGAAATATTACAGGACAGTGATAAACATAAACATTATGATAAGCATACATAAAGAATGAGATAATATGTGAGTAAGCCACGGTATATATGGTGGTTGTAGAGATAATATCAGATTCCATTTTACAAAATATGAAGCTAAATTATTTAATATTCATTGATTATTCCATATTAAATCTTAAAATGATAATAAATACATGAATTATTATTATTATTATTATTATTATTATTATTATTATTATTGATTACCATTTTCAATAGTATAATTAATACCGGCATCGTTATTATTGTTAAGTTTATTGATGACACATAAGTTGTAGTTACTGGCTCAAACGTTAGTAAATAGTTGGATGCAGTATTCATGGCATATACATTTATATTGATACATTACATGGTAGGTTCATAGTAATCAAACACGTTTTGCTTTGGAATTGAAAAGATGAATGGAGTCGGGGATAAAGGATCTTCGGAAACGTGCACGTTGGGTTCGTGGTGTGCACAGGCGTATTCCAGATCTGTTATAATTTAAGTGCTCATTCAGTGGGTGCGAGGGGTCATGCATTATTTGTTTTACTTTAGAAAGGGCATTTTTCTGATACAGATCTTCTATGGATGTTAGATCGGCTCCTGTGATACGTTTTGCTGCCTTTCTGGGACGTTCGAGTAGTTTCTTGGCAGCAATTTTAGCGTTTGCATAATAGCAAATTAGGTTGAAGGTTAGGACACTCTGAATTAGGGACTTAAAGAACAGTTCTATCAACTTACTATCTACTCTTAAGTTTTTCATTACCCTAATAAAGTATAGTCTCTGGTTGGCTTTCTTTTGGATGTCTACAATGTTCTTAGTCCAATCAAGTGACTTTGAGATAGTAGTACCTAAATACCTGTACTCTGTAACTTGTTCTACAGGAGTATCATTTATCAAAATCGGGGTATGATCGAAGGGGTTTCGGCGAAAATCAATTATGATCTCTTTTGTTTTAGTTACGTTTAGTATTAGGAAGTGGTCATTGCACCATTTAACAAACTCATCTATAACCTTAACGTATGGGTCTACATCTTCAGAAAGATAACCTGTGATAACAGTATCATCCGCATATTTGATGATACTGCACTCTCCTACATTACATAGACAGTCACTTGTGTAGAGGGAGAAGAGCGCGGGGGAGATGACACAGCCTTGGGGCGCCCCTGTATTTACAATTCTTGGACAGGATAAGGCGTTACCTAAGACGACTCTCTGTGGTCTGTCACTTAAAAAACTCTGTATCCACAGACTTAACTGGGGAGGGACTTCCATATCAATGAGTTTATTTATCAGAAGGTGGGGGATAATAGTGTTGAAAGCACTACAGAATCGAGAAGTGGATGGCATCAAAGGGAAAGGAAGACCAAAGATTTAATGGAAAGATATGGTGGAGAAAAAAAAGCAGTAAGTATGGTCGAAATGAGGAGGATGCTCAAGACAGGTAGTAGATGGAGGGAGTGTCTTCTTGGCGCAAAAGTCAGTAAACCCTTGTAAGAAGTGAAATGCTGACTTTAATAAATGATGATGTTGTGCACTGCTTTGGTACTATGTACATCATTATTTTTGAATATCGTAATTTTCCTCACTATCACTCTAATATATCCCTGTCTGTATGTGTTATTATTCAGACATCGACGTATGGAAGCCGTCCGTCTGAGGAAGGAAAACCAGATCTACAGTGCGGATGAGAAGAGGGCTCTCCTGTCATTCAACAAAGAGGAACGCGGCAAGAGGGAGACTAAGATCCTATCAGACTTCAAGGATATGGTGCACAAAAAGACGACTAAGTCTAAGTAAATGTAGAGACATGGTATAGCTCAACCAGGCATAGTCAACTGCTTGGATGATTTAAAGCGGGACTATACAGCCAACAATGCCTAAGCGGTACCTGGTGATTCCCCATGGTCCACTTTGTCTTATGTTAATTAAGAGCTGATTTGATGAGATAACTACCTGTCAGTGACCATGCAGGGAGGTCTAATCCCTCCTGGCCAAACTAGTGCAGAAAGGCTTCAAAGAGAACATTGAGTTCTGAGAAAGGTGAACAAATAGTATGTGAACTTTTTAATTCTCTTTATGTTTTTGTGGAAGAGGATCATAGAAAAGAGTCCCATGAAAAGGATGGCTTTTCAAATACACTCATATTCGACATCTGACAAGTAACTGCTACACATGGACCACAACTTTCACGTTTGAATCAGTCCCATATACTCATTTCTGTGTAGAGTGCGTATGACCTTTAGGAAAACTTCTCCATAATCTTTTCATTTCGGTGATTCTTAAACCTCGCAGTATACACCAACTTTTATGTGCTGCATAACCAACCTTTTGCAATCGCTCCAAAGGTTTCTTTGACAATGTAATCACACAGAACTGGTCTTTATCTGTTACTTGCGATATGTATGTCTTTGATTCGACTCGTGCTTCAGTACTATTCACCAATGGAAAGGTATTGATGTTCAGTTGCCACTCCATACCCAGGAGAGGAATGAGACCTAGTATGATTTTAAAAGGTATTGAGATGGTATTTGCTGTAGGCTGTCACTATGACAATAGATGGAAAATGAAAGACAAGAATTTGGCAGAATTTTAAAAAGATCATTAGCAAATTATGATGTATAAAAGAACTACTGGTACTCTTCACAAAATCATTTTTCATATGTTTGCATCAAATAATAAAATGGTTAGCAAATGAAATGATACGCTTAATTTCTGCATACATATTGTTCATGTAAATGATGTGATGATTTCCTGTACTTTAGAAGTTAATTCTGCTACATTCAATTGTAAATTGCAACTTTTCTGTGCACATTAGAGCTTTGCTGATTATTTCTACCCATGCACAATTGACTGAACATGTAATAAGGGTGTGTTATAAAAGGGATAGTCGAGTTCTTATTTTAGACCGCAAATGCCTTCAGAGTGTATGGTTATTGCCGTGGTCGAGTGGTTTAAGGCGCTTGACTGGAGATGCGAAGGTCGAGGGTTTGAATCCTCACACGGCACTAATATCCTTTGGCAAGATATTTACCTGCACTTGCTACTCTCCACCCAGGTGTCAAATGGGTACCCGGTAGGATGCGACCGTCATTGTTGGTCAGACAGCTTGTGAGCGTCAAGTGACCCCTGGCTGGAATGCTCCCCAGGGAGTGGAGATTGTGCACACATTGTGTGTGGGCAAGCACTGAATCCAATGACCGCGGTAATAGTATATTTGTAAAGCGCTTAGAGACATTTGTATTAAGCGCTATATAAAAATTAAATATTATTATTATTATTATTGTTATGACATTTCTAATGCTCTCTTAGGACCTAAAATTGCTATGAAGGTAATTTTAGTCCCCAAAATGTGTGAGATTTAGCCAATACGATCATACCAATTCAGCTCCAATGTCAAAAAAACATGGTGACCTTTAATTAATTGATTAATTGATAACAACAATACATGGGCCGGCTGGTAGTGCATATTATAACCAACACAAAAAAGCCAACAAAGAGCCAACATCAGCATTGGTTGGAATAAAAGGTATAAGAGCTATTTTTTTTTTCAACAGCTGGTTCAAATTATCAAATATTTGTGGGGCACAACAAATATCAGAAATCATCTCTGAGCTGATTTTTATCAAACAAAGATGATTTTGTTTTCATTTAAATTATATGTTCTTTTAAATTTGATACTCAGTTTTTCATTATCTCACAAAAAAAAATATTTTGAGTAGCGCCCTCTGCAACAAAACTCAACTATCCCTTTAAAGTAAGTTTACACATTTTAGTCTGTAAAAGGTTGGTATGTCATCCTTTTTTTTTAAATTGTGTAGCAGTTGTATACAGTAAAGTCCTGTTGAGAGTACCCATTCACGTCTAGCAACAGGTATACAGACATATTACACCAGGATTCTGTGCCTTTTGTCTGTTTATCCTCATAAAATGCTATTTTATCATCATATTGTATCTGTTTTTTAGTTTTTTTTAATAGACCTCTTTTCTGTCTGAATATGTACCAGTATTTATATCTGATAGAACTGCAATGTCTTCATGTTTTATTGAAATCTAGTGTATGTGATTTGGAATTCACAATTTATCAAGAAAGGAACATTAATGGGATTTGAATCTGCCTCCAGCAAGAGAAAAGGACATTGCAACAAATGAGTCTATATTACCTTTAGAAAAAAAAACTCAGATGGAGAAAACTTTTTAATTGTAAATCAAGAGGTACATGATTGTACAAGTCTCTGGCTGGCTGCTATTTGTATACATGCTGTTTTCTATTGTCTGATATATCAGTCAAGACAGTGTAAATGAAAATTAGAAGGACAGTGAACCCAGCTTTGACAACGACCTGTAAGCAAGGGAAGTCTATAAAGACTAGATTTGTTGCTTCTCTGCACTTTTTTGTTCATTCACTGGAACCTTTGTTAAATTAGGTTGTAAATAAAAACCACCTGCATATAAAGACTGCTCCCCTTAAGCAGTTTTGACATAGGGTTACAGGTGTTGCTGTAGTTGGGTAAAGATATTGCTGTTTATTATTTTTCTTCATGGTCTGTAAATAAAAAAATAAAAAACATAAAAATGAGAAATACAGTGTGTTATGTTCAGTATTTTATGGTGTACATGTATTGCTGTTATGATTGAAATTGTGAAAACATCCTTGGCCCAATGCAGACATCATTGAATGCTTTTATCTCATTCTCATTGCATTAATACTGTTATGAGAGTAATAGCATATATCAGTTACAATTTTGATAAAGATAGGGGGGAGACAGAGAGAGAGAGAGAGAGAGAGGAGGTGAGGGAGAGAGACAGAGAGATGGGGAGGGCAAAAATAATTTCAACCACTCAATATTAGCTCTTTAAGCCCCACTGTACTACTTGTAGCTACCTGCTCCCTCTATATAGAAAACGATGGCTAAACGGTGCATGTTGGTCCCCCATGATCCTTTTTTTTCTTATGTTAAGATACATTCCCTTCCCTTTCCCTTGTCTTTTGTAGTTAATTGTGAATATTGGTTCATGTATCCCTGTAATCTCCCTTTCCCTGTTTTAGCGTGTATTTTGTATTTTATAAACTTTTCTTTAGTTAATTATGTCATTTGTAGTTTAAGGAGCCTATCCACAACATGCTCTGCTTCCCCCATAGGCTCCACCGCTACATCTCTTAAGTTCACAATATTGAAGGACGATTTTCAGAATAGTGTGTACCGGTATTGTATACATGTAGGCCTATATTATAATCGTTCTTCAATATGTTGTTACACTCTTTGTAAAATGAGATATCGTGGAAACCCATTAAATTATCTTATCTTTAATCTTATCTTATTTTCAATGATGCTTTCCCGATACATACACATTTAGAATTACAAGTCAGGTTGTTGTCTATCATGAAATAATATACCTAGTCTACTTGAGGGTTAAACATCGACATTAACAATATCAGGTGGTCCCTTGATCTATGCTATGCATGTAGATGTCACGCTATGGTAAAAAAAATCTAATGATATTAGGGTCGATTACAGAGAGTATCCCAATAGTAAGGTCAAACACAAGAGTATCCAGTCATAATGCCTCCACTTTACCAACAAAGGGGGCTCACCTTATCTCTATCATGGCCGTGGGAAACTTTATAACATTTAACGTTTTCTTAATGCAACCTAAGAGGACATTCATATATTTTTTTTGTCCCAAAATTTGAAAATTTGGCCGTTCGATTTTTCTTTCGTTTGGGGGGGGGGGGTACGGTCAGCTTTTTGGGGTCACCCATTATCACAATTTTTTATTTATATATATATATATATATATATATTTTGTTTTTTTTGTTTTTGTTTTTTTTTTAATGAAAGGGGGGGGGTTTCCCCCAAAACACACACATAAAACAAAATCAAAGGGGGGGGGGTTCAACCTCCAACCCCCCCCCCCCCCCCCCCCTGCGTACGCGCCTGCGCACAAGTATCATTGCCTCATTAGTTATTATATCATCAAGTACAGAGGCAGATTGAGTAAAGCATTAACATTTCTAAAACTTCTGTTACAATGCGAACCTTGCCAACATGCATATATATATTAAAATCAGCCATCGTAAATATGCCTGGAGGAGTATTTGTTTAGTTTAAGTTGGTAGGCATAATTATGTTTATACCGGGAGTTCTGATTTCTCTTTACTCTCTCTTACCTTCTCTCTCTGTCTCTCTTTCTTTCTCTCTCACTCCCCTCTCTCTATCTGCGTCTTCCTTGCTCTCATTCTTACTTCCACTCTTTCTTTAACTACTACTCTATTGCTCTCTTTCTTTCTCAATTTTATTGCTATCATATATAAATACGTGTAATTTAATAGGGTTTATTCTGAAGTTTGTAATGATTATGATACTGTTATTAGTTAGGAAGTCTCAATGTTTTTAGTTTAAAAACTGATTTTGTAATGTTTTCTTTTCCGTCATTGTTATTGTGTATTGTCATTGTAACCCTATCTGAGATGCATCCAATGCAATTCAAATCTCTGTCCTGGGTTTTATGTCATATCTTTATTATTGTGTCATATGTGTATTCATGAATAAACAAAAATACTTTTCTCTCTAATTACTATCTCAAATACATCAGTAACTAAACATGAAAAAAACATCTGTTTGTTAAATAGGAGGTCTATAAATGACACCGAGTAATATAGAAGTGTTACGATTTTGAATGTTAATAAGCAGACTTTAGATAAAGGGGTGTTCAAATCTAAATCGGGACGTTGTTTGTAATTGATGTCAGTCCAAATAAAACTACCAACACTTCATCCATGCGTGTTCTTTCTATATATAATATTATTATTTACATAGTCATAATTTTCAGGATTATACAGAGATAACGGAGATTGATCGTAATTTGACGTTTCAGATATACCAATAGCAGAAGATTTCACTGACAAAGAACTAATAAAACAAAGAAGTTATTAAAGTTACGACATAGGCTTCTACAGTTTACATGAAAACATTTTAGCAATGCTATCTGGTGAGTATGTAACTGACACAAATTGTTTATATTCATCTGATGAGTAGTATGCTTCTATAGGACCATGATCACTGTCACAATCAGCTGGAGTTGAAAACTCTTGCAAGGTACAAAAATCAAATTCAATAAAGGCATAGACATACAAAAAGATAACACAAGGTTGTATATACAAACAGTTTTTCAAAAAGAAATATTTTTTTAAAAATGCAATAACATTACAATTACAAAATATTTAATACCTTAACAATTATTTACATAAAATGTATATTTAAATGTATATTTAAATGTATATTTAAATGTATATTTAAATACATGAAAGACAAATGAGAGACAGTGTTACAAGACATATTCACATTGATGGCACCATAGAAAGGAGAGATAGTATAGATGAAAGAAGACAAAATAAGAGATAAGAGAAAGAGAGAGAGAGAGAGAGGGGGGGGGGGGGGGAGAGGGTAAAAGGGTACCTAGTATAAACATCAACATGTGAATTTACATTTTTGTCAAGGTAATTCTTACAACTAATTTGTTTATTCGACGTTGAACCATCTGATGTCAGGATTATTATACTGCTCCAGAAACAAGTTTCGGGAATAAAGTGTAATACCTCCTGTAGAGCACTAGCTGATATTTTATTTCGCCAAAATCACATTCCTAAGATAAAAGACCATTATCCATTATAGTTATATCAATTTAATACAAACTTGATAAGAATAGCATACCTTTTGTCTTGAAGAAGTAAAAAAACAAAAACACAATACATTACTTACATACAAAACTAGACAATTTAATGATTATCACTTGCCAAAAAGTAGAACGGTTGTGTTGTTTTTTTTATAGCAAATCTATGTTTTTCACAGGAAAATATGGATTTCCTTAGATATAACAAACCGTAACTTTAGAAAGGTTTTAATCACTTGTTGGATACTTTATACTGTATTCTTTCTTATTTAATCTACTCCCTACTTTGTCTTTTTTTAACCTCTTTAACTGTACATCATGTATATTTTTTTCTCGTGCGGTAACTGTATCTGTATATTTCATCTGTATATAATGTAGCTATATGCATTATATCATAAAAAAGAATGAAAAGGTTCACGAATTATTTTCCCCAGCCTTTCCCAGAACTCATCCTTCTCTTTAACAAGGAAAATGAATTAATGTACCATTGTGGACACTTTTAAAAATATAAGAATAGATATGAAGAACAAAAGCAAGTTACACCTTATCTTTTAAATAAGGCCTCGACTTCGAGGATAACTATCCTCGAAATATTTACCCCCAAAACCCCAGAAAAAACGAAAAGTGGAAATTTTACGACCCTGAAATATAGCCTGCAATACAATCGGCTAATGTTAATATTCTAAGGGAGGAAGTTACAAAAGGGTAGTGGAGCACTTAGCTGTATGTATACTATGTACCTGCTGTATGTATACTATGTACCTTACAATGGTTTCCAAGTAAGTTCAACATTAAAATAAACGATGACGATTCTATAATGTAAAAACATCTGTATTCTACATATCACATTTTCAATATTTCATGAAGTACTGTGCAAAATGATTATTTTTTCATATTTGAAATTTTGGACAAGAAAACATCCAATAAAAAAACTTAACAATTAGCTATATAATTTACCATTAATAAGTTCAGTGAAGACGAAAGAGTGAAACATTAAACCTAGTCTAGCCTAATGCATGTACATTTCTTTGGGGATAATTTCTGGGCTTAAACATATCATTTATACCTCACCAGGAACAGTTCCCACGATCAAGCTATTATTTGTCCCTTGAAAGCAAAAGGAGGGTTAAAACAAACAGTCCATAATGATATATCCCACTTTTTTTAATACTTACAGGTAATATAAATAATATTTTGGAATTGTTACATTACATAATCTATTTAAAGGATTGATGTTAGTTTGTTAAATTAAAACGTTCCATCCATGGTACCACTAGATACAAGGTATTGTACAGGGTCTATAGGGATAGAGTTATATGACAACAAAAAGACAGAGACCTCGGGCTTAATGTCTATGTCCAAACAAATCACAAGCATTTCCAGATCAGTTCGCTATCAATTGCGCAATATTGGCTTCATACGGAAATATCTGACTCGTTCGGCAACAGAGAAACTTGTTCACTCACTTATTTCTTCACGTTTGGATTTCAGCAACAGTTTACTCTATAATTTACCAAATTCACAAATTGCACAGTTACAAAAACTACAAAATGCAGCTTCACGCATCATTTCTCTGTCAAGCAAACATAGTCACATTACTCCCATCTTACAAAATCTCCATTGGTTGCCTGTAAAAGAACGTATAATTTTCAAAATCCTTCTTTTAGTTCATCAAATCATGAACAAAACAGCTCCTGAATACAACCAGTCTTTAGTTCACCTCTACCAACCCACACGTACCCTCCGATCTTCCAACTCTGGTCTTCTACACATACCGCTTTCAAAGAAATCTTGGGGGGAACGAGCTTTTGCTCATGCCGGACCAGCCCTGTGGAATTCACTTCCACAGGAGCTGAAGAACTCCGACTCTTCAACATCTTTTAAGAGCAACCTTAAATCCCATTTGTTTAATTTCGCGTTTTGAAGACAGACATTCATTCATTCATTCATTCTTTCATTTTTGCATTTTCTTTCTTATGTAAATGTACCGATTCTTTGTCATGATGTAATGTGTTCCTAATATTTTGAAGCGCCTTGAGCATTTAATTAAAATGGATAATGGCGCTATATAAATCTCATGTATTATTATTATTATCAAACATAGATTTCTTCCGGTTTTATAATAATTTTTATATCCATTTATGAGGGGGGAATGCTCTCTAAAAAGTTTTACTCTGGAACACGTTTGAATAAATCATATGTTCATTGTTGATATGTTTGGAATGTAGGTATATACATCCATTTTCGATGAAATTGTTGATTCGCCCAATTATGAAATATATACATGTTGGCCATTTTTGTATCCGAGCGTAAGATTCGCAAATTCGGTTGTATTCATGGAAGTTTTTTTCTTTTTTTCTCCCAATATAAAATTATAAAAAGTAATTGTACAGCTGGATTGATATCCCAACCTATATTGAGTCAAAATGGCAACTAAAGCAAGTTACACACCTTTGTACATGGTGAGAATATTTGGAGAATTTCTTTTTATGTATCTTTTTTCCAAGTGCACTGTATTTCATTTCCCATATAACACAAATGACACAACAATCAAAATTACATAACCTATAAAGTGAGATACAAATACACAAATCTTATTGAAATGAGAATACTTAAACTCAAAGCATGGCACTTGTCTCGTTGTTCTTCTCTTGCGGCTTCGCGTCCAAAGAAGTTGATAGGGGCCTAGATTCAGGGCTATGTGTGATATTCGATGTGGTAGCGTCTTGTTGTCTCTTGACTCTATCCAGACAGGTCAGTCCCCACCGCTTACGAACTATTGGTTTACGAACACAGTAGAGCAGGAAGATGAAGAGTCCTTGAAATGAGTTCAGTATAATGAAGATGGGCTCAACCACCTGGGATAAAATAGAATAAAGATAATCATAACAAAAATGTTGCGGTTGAAACTTTCATAACGTCTTTATACTCAAACGGTTCCCTGTTCAAACACACAACCTCGAGCACACATTCAGTTAACAACTAAATTATTCATACCCTACCAAGTTTTGTAATTTTCGAAGTTTGTGAAAAATTGATTTGTCCCGATTTATGTTTCTTGAGGATGAGACATATCAAAGCATAAATCTGAAAGTATTCAACAAAGGCAGTAATTCAACCAGTCCACCTTTCATTCGTGAGTTACAAAATACACAAAAAACATCAAATTTACAATGGGTATGAATAACTAAATGGTTAACTGTATATATACACGTATATCAACTTCAATGAAATTTCTTACGTTTCTGGTCACAGTATCCTATAAACTTTCACAAGTTTCACAATAGAAAAATGCAATTACGTTATGTTTCTATAATATAGATATTGTTCTTTCTACTGCACCTGACTGAATTCTCGGATCATCAGGAAGTATCCAGTGATCCATGTAAGACCAAGCAGAAGGAGGATACAGATTGCATTTTGAACCCGTTTGATGTTCTCTCTACGTTCCACCTTGGCCTCTTTCTTCATCCGACCAGCGAGATTAGAAGACTTCATAAGTTGACGGACGATGAGGGCAAAGATGACGACGTTGAACAGGAGAATGATTGTCATGGGAATAAGGAGACCACCGATTTGAGCCCACAATTCGAGAAAACATCTAGAGATCCGGTAGAAATTGTGAAAAAAAGAAAATATGTAGGGGGAAAAAATGGAAATCATTAACCACTTCCAAAATAAACGTGCCCCCAGTGTCAAAATGTCATAATACACTAACATTCGGTACACCCCAAATATTATTACTGTTAAGTATTTGGCATCACCTATGCCTGGCATGCAAAAAGCGAACTGAATCACTTTAATCCATGGGTCTCATCTAATTGGGAGTGTGAAGGTGGACCACAACACCGGGGTTTCCCATATTCAAATACGAATAGTGCGGTGGGTTCTTAACGTGCAAAGGTGGTGATTCTCCTGTACAGGGGCCTCCATTTAACGTCCAACCCGAGGGACGGAGTGTTCTCCACTGTAACATAGCATGCGTCTATGAAATAGGGGAGGGGCTCGTTAACTTACAACACAGGCTTCAGTCATCCGCCTCTGGGTTTGTCTCGAACCCATGATCTTTGGTACTACACGCAGATGCTTTGCTGACTGAGCCAACTCACCTCCTCATAATGTACACAGGTATTTGAAGTAATGTGGCATGTATTTTTGTTCGAAATTAAAATACATGTAATTTACTTTCTTGATTAAGTGAACCATACAAGACTGAGACGGTTTTGTGAAGCGAAATTTCTATAAAAGGAGATGAAATGCTGTATGACAATTAAATTTGCTTAAATATTTTGGTTCAAAAATATAAACAAGAAATTTTCCTAGCACTATGCTCCGTCCTGTTGTCGTGATATGGCTCTATTTTTGTTTACCCTTACCTTGTCACCTAAAGGCCCAACTGATCATGTTATAAAAAACTACAAAACATTGTAAATATATTTCGGTTTGGAGATTATGATATTAACAGGTTAACAGACTACTCACACATCTCCGTGCGCATATTTGTCCTCGGCAATGGCTCCAGTTACAATGACAATCAGTGCAGGAATACCTTGAATTTATTTTTTTAAAAGGGGAAGACAATTATGATTCATTATATTTTCACGTGTCAATTGACAGTATTAAAGCCTTTCCCTAACAGGAGAATAAGAGAAAATGTTCACAATTGCCATTGTGTGATTTAAGCAAAGTGAAAGGAAAGGATGAAGATGGCGATTGATATAGTACAATCGCTAAAATGACATAGCAACGGCGGTCATGAATGCGGCATGCATACATACAGGCATTCACTTAAAGCTAAAGACTAGTATTGGAAATGCCCCAATTTCAAAATATGAAATGGAACCTTTCATTACCAATCATGTGAAAGAATGTGTTTTGACTAATACATGATGATAAAAAATTTGTCGGGAAACCGCCTACTAATTCATATATTTGGAAAATTTGTTTCTCTCATGGTCTGTGAGAGATATAGGGTAGTCCCATATACATCTTTCTGTGTATAGTGCTTGTAACTTTACGAAGAATGGGCCAAATTTCTTATCATTTTGATGATTTCAGAACCTTGCAGATGCTAGATGCTAGATGATCAACCTTTTCTGATCGATTACTCAACGTTTCTTTCACAATGCAATCGCATGACCATAACTGGTCTTTACCTTTAAGAAGTAGATAGATCTTTTTGTATTTTTTCCTCTTCTAGAAACAACTTTACGATCAATTTGTGAATCACTCGAGAGATCTTTGTATAGATCTTTTTTAGATGGAAAACTGTTTTGAACAAGTAGACAACAAAATATCCTGCCCAAGATGCAACCATGCAGCTTAAATATTTACCTTGTAAAACCATGTTAATGGGAAATTAAATATCGATAGTATTGGCAACATTTACCCTTTCCTTCTCAAATATCAATTTGTCTGCCCCGAAATGTGGAATATCTTTTTTTTTAAATGGGGATGAAAGCCTTTCACGAAGAAGAAATCATGCATATTGCACTCTTTTAAATGCTGGCAATGTAATCTTATGGTGGTTGATGTTTATTTTACATGTATTATCATCATTCGAAATCATTCGAAATTATAAATATTCTTTATCTATTAGAAAAACGCATTATTTTTTTAAGGATCAATTTCGATATTACTGATAACAATTTTGAAATGGTTGTACCCCATGCAACGGCACCAGCTTTGAGCATGAACCGTGGAATGTAGGTATCAAAGATCTTGACGATGATGAGATAAGTATTGTATCCCTCCACACCCATCCAAGTGAGCGAAGATAGAACGAAGTAGTGAACGAGCGCCGTAATGAACCCGCATGGACCTGCCTTTACTTGGTATTGACTTTTGGAGCTCTCCAGTGACATCATGACAATGAACGATAGGTAGAGACAGAGTAACGTCAGGCACAGGCAAATGAAGATCTGGTTGGTCTGTTTTCCCCTCAGAACTCTTTCAGTTTAATAACAAAAATGTAACATAAATTTGTATTTGATTAATACATTTATAAATGTAGTGCATATATCATTATTTAGTAATAAAAATGTTGGTGCTAGGGTTTATAGATTAATTAAGGCGGTAGCAATATATTCAGCATGTCAAATTTGAATATTTCCCATGCATCAAACAAACGATCCCAGGACCTAGCTGCACTAGCTTGATTTAACCTTTGATCAAATGATAGTATTAATAAAACAGTACATACTGTGAACTAGGCTGTAACTCATACGAGCAGAGACAATGCCATCATTTGGCAAAATACTTGTTTTTTCATTCAGTTATCAAATGGATATTCAAATGAAATTCCTGACACAATGTGATCACGTATCATGTTTACAAAACATCTGAAGGAATTTCATGATCTATATGCTTTAATATAATCTAGTAGTTTTATGAGATGGATAATCATAAAAATTGAGATAAACATGACTCTTACCTGTTTGATAGATATGTTGCGAGGGTGACAAGTAGGCTAACTATTGAAATACCACATCCTATGTACGTTAGAACTGTGTATGCTTGCTCTTGCTCAAAAGACCCTTCCTCTCTGGAAATATCCTACAAATAGAATAAATTCATCACAAATTTATTATCCAGCTCATTCTACACTTAACCATAACATATAGAGCTATATGAAAACCTAACATGTGTGTGTGAGCTCTGGTGATATTGCTGTCATTAATTTGTCGCCGACATATTATAATACATTAATGAGTATGCATAGTGAGTGTGTTATTCGACTTGCCTGGAGTTAGTCACCATGTGAGCAGCCCCCACCCCCCAAAAAAGTTCCACTTCTAAGATTAAAAACAAGAAAGGGAAAAGACTGAGGAAAAAGATAAGAGAGAAAAATACAAGGAACAGGACAGAAAATGCTCTTACTATTCACAAATGGAATCACTTCAATCGGTCGCTACATGCTTTATCTTTAACATTAAAGAAGAACTGTAGAAAATTACATAGACAGAGATTACATTTTGTCTTTACAAGATCTTTGGTATAGTGAGATAATAGCGGGTCTTTCCCAAAGATGGGGATCTTTGGTTAAATGGGGGAAGTCTCTTACTGCAGCTTCCAACAATAGAGATCGAAGTATTTCAAATGGGGGAGAGATAACTATATCAATTAGCTACAACTGAAGAAGAACAAAAACATATGCAATCCCATGTGATTCCCAGGCGACGTGCTTTGAAAATAAAAGACATACTACTATAAAAGAAAGAAAGATCTTACCATAAGGACGGCAAAGTTGGTGAGATGGTTACATCCACAAACGATCTTCTCCTTCTCATCAGATGGAGGAGGATCCCAGTTGTTATCATTGGATGAGCTAATTCCAGATGACGAAAGAAGCTGACACCCTTCTTGAGACCAGTCACTAAAGCCAATATCCCAGTATGAACACGACGGGTTCGTCAGACCAGTCTTGTGAGAAAATTCAAATTGAGAACATAGTGCATACGACTATAGTTGTTTTCATAGGTGGTCAACTAATGCTAATAACATGTCCTTGTCTGATACACTGTATACTGTGAAATTGATTATAAAACAGAAATAATTATAACACATTGGAAATAATACTCAAAGATGACAATTAAGATGCACAGTCATGCACATATATTTATATCTATGAAGTAACTTTGAAAATGACATTCCTTTAGGGCCTACCTCTATCGTGGTAAAAGTGAAATTGATGGGTTCTGTCAGATCTTCTATTTTCTCGTCCCCGATGCTCAGTGATATAACAGGCGTGTTAGCAGATCGGTTGGTTCCTACACTTGTGTTTTTCAATGATTTAGAAATGAAAAGGGCTGGTGTGGAAAAGACACTAAAGATCACGCGAACAAAGCCGTTAGTATTAGAACTTCCTCCAGATATCAACGGTAAAGCGGAAGAAATCGCAGATGGTATGTTGACAATAGCAATGGTATCTGGTTTTGTAGCTTCAGCTTGATTTTCATTTGAAGTTTGGATGTTGGTGTCAAATTTCTTCAGATCAGAATTGGTGTCTCCTGCTAATGAGAGGACTAAACCATTTGAGATGACATCGGTAGGTACGCTTTGGACCTGAAAAGTTCAGAAAAACAGAATTGGAAAAACAGCCAAATAAGAACGTTGCTTTGGTCATGAAGAGGCATAGTATTCTTTGCACGTGTCATTGACAGATATCTTATTTTGAGGAGCGCTAGTAAATGTCAACTATATTCACAGTAAGTACATAAATTTTGGTCTTTGCTGCCCTGCCAAGGGGGAAAATTCGGATATAATCAGCATTTTATTCGACATAGAATATCAAAACTTCTACGTACCTGCACGGCAATATTTTTCTGTTGAATGCTGAAATTGTCACCGTCTTCTATAGGTACACTTTTGATCTGCTGCTCAAATACTTTAACGACATCAATAACAGAGGCTGATGCTGATTCAAGTGTTTCTGTGTCAACATCAGCGATGTTACTCACTATGGCAACAATAGATGCAGTAACCTGTTATTCAAAATCAAGTAAATACGTTCACTTACATATTCCGAAAGCATAGCAGTATTAGTATGAAATAAAAACTTTAAATACAGGTGTGATTTTGGATAACATTTGGACAGTCGGATTTGACAAGATCTTTAAAAAAAATGGCAAATACTATTTTCACAATGAATTGACCTACAATTAAATGGTCTTTATTTTAGTAATATAGCCGGATTCGCTTGGCCAGTAAAAAGATAAACACTTAAGTCGTAATAATTGTATATGTATGAATTTACTGGACACGTTTCACAACAAATTGAATTAAAACTTTAAGAGACGAATTACATTAGATATTTTTGGAAAGTGTTGTATTCGCGAGACTAAATTAAGAAACATACCTTTTCACTGTTCGTTCGAGCACTTATATTTGAAATTATATTTGCAATCGAAAAAATGTCATCAGATGAGATATCACCAGTGTTACTTGTCACCAAACTGACGTCTTCACTGAGCTTAGCAACATTTTCATCTGAAACGATAACCTTGAAACAAACGATTTGAATATCAGTCAGATTGTGTTTGCTTTTATTGTTCTATAGAGTCATTCAAACAAAATGGTCGTATTATGTCTCTACAACCGTCTCCTTTCTACGGGACCAGGGGTGTCCACTTTTATGGCAGGATCTACTTTTTAATCTCTAAATATTGCTCACAAGACAGCCTAGATACATTTTGCCTTCATTTTATTAGAGAAAGTATTAGCCCATCTGTTTTCATTTCTGAGCATAACAACTTATCACAGAATGTTCATTTCTATTTCATTCATTGGGATGTTACAATTGCTATTTTATTTCTAGGATGTGTCCAATAAATAATAAAATTCAAAGCTATAACATTGAAATAGGCTTGATGGAAATTGATGGTGTTCAGTCCCTGACAATTCATAATGAGTGGTCTCGTGACTGTGTTTTGACAATTCAAGAAAAGTTTCTTGAAGCGGCTGAAATAGAAATCTCAATATTGAAATTACCTTTGAAAGCTGGCCAAGTAAATCTCCAGCATTTCTGAATTGTCCACAGTTATCCGTGGGATCGGGAAGCCACGTACTCTGTGAAATCAGATCACCGACGCATATGGCACGACCGATTGGTTGATCAGCTATCAAACAAATTCACAACAATTTACTATCCCCGTACCATTATTGAATTTCATGAAATAATTATAATTTATGGGAAATGTCTTGAAAAAAGCATGTGGATAATGATGGCAAGAGCGTATAATTAGAAAATCAAATGTCTAGCTGTAAAAACTTAGATCCTCTAATGTTCATAGCCTATATATTAATGCAAATCCCTGCTGTGTGATTTAGGGGGATACGTCTTCTAGAGTGGCCCATTGGTTTATTTAAGTCAATCAGAATCAGAATAACTAATTTCATTTAAATAGAGATAGATAGATAGATGCAGGTAGAACGTGCATGGAAAGTATCCTAATTTACCGTTTGTTGTGTTGAATGGACATACTTCAGTTGAGTTCGCCCACGTTCCGTTCTCACCCTCTAGGAAACTGATTAATCCAAAACGCGATGACATCCATGTCGTATTCTTACAGATCGCTGGGATCCATGAATATAAGAAAAACAAAAGAAATTGTTACTGATGAAATGAGACAGTTTTGAGTTCTGATGATGGTCTTGCATTTCTATCAAAAAACTGGATTAAATCATTCTAGAATACAGCAAATGAAACGAAAACTGTGTATTATTTGTTTCTCGATCCAACCTAGAACAAAACAACCGAATATGACTCCCATGTTATTATTATTTACTGGAACCCGCCATTTTAAACCTGCCACGTCCAATAGGTAATTGATCAATTACAAAATTCAAAATGTTATTGAATGGATTTCATTCTATTACATTTTTACTTGATAGACACAATATTTTGAAAAGTAGTAAAGACTCACGAGTGGGGTGAGGGATGACATCACAATGAGTACCCTCGTATTGATCATAGCAGTCACATTGGTATTGTCCTGATCCGATATAGTAGCTACATTCACCATTGATACACGGATCATGAACCATACAAGGGTCTGTAGATTTTTTATCCCGAGAAAGGGAGAAAGAGAGATAAAAAATTAACGTAGGCATATAAAGCAGGAATGGAGATGAGGGAGTGGAGAGCTACAGCCCCCAGGCGCGGATCCAGGAACCCATTTCTATCGGCCCGGCTATGGCAACCCCTTTGTGTAAAAACTAGATAAACTCAGTTTATCAGAAAAACTGTGTTTATCAATGATAAACTCAGTTTATCAACTGATAAACTGAGTTTTTCTGATAAACTGTGTTTATCTGTTGATAAACTGAGTTTATCTGAGAAAAACAGAGTTTATCTGAGAAAAACAGAGTTTATCTGAGAAAAACAGAGTTTATCTAGTTTTTACACAAAGGGGTTGCCATAGCCGGGCCGATAGAAATGGGTTCCTGGATCCGCGCCTGACAGCCCCCCCCCCCCCCCCCCCCAAGAATCAAGAGACAACCAAAATTCGGTCAATCATCAGCTTCCTTTTAGGTAGTGATAATCAACTAGGAAATCACAAAAAAGTGACAAGCCAATGACCTTATAAGAAGAAAAACAGATACAGGTATTTTTAGCCAATAATGTCTTTTAGAACTTACTCCATCTTTTGCCATGGAGATATTGGTTAAGTAAGAACAAACATTTCACAAATATCAAGTTGGTTTATTATAAAACAATACAAAACTACAACATTAGAAGTTATACCGAGTTAGTCAAAAAAAAGTTTACACCTAGACAATTGCTAATTATTTTAAAGATCATGTATGAACAGAAAATTATTATACATCTTATGAAAGAGTGTTTTATCCCAAATCAAATTCCCATCACCCCATTCTTACATGCAGGCCCCACTGAACATTTCTCGGCGGGGGTCAAGGGTGGAGCCCTCAGAAGCTCAGGGGTTTTATACATTAAATTACCGTCAGATGAGCATTATTTTGATACCTTATTTGTGACACTGGCAGGTCACGAATTGACGTGGGGTCCAGGGGACGAAGCCCCCGAAAGTTCAGGGGTTTTGGGCATTAAATTACGACCAGATGAGCATATTTTGAAACCTTATTTGTGACACTGGCAGGACACAAATTTGTGTTGAGTCCAGGGGGCGGAGCCCTCAGAAGCTCAGGGGTTTTATACATCAAATTATCGTCAGATCAGCATAACATATTTTGTGACACTGGCAGGTCACGAGTCGGCGTTGGGTCCAGGGGGCGGAGCCCCCGGAAGCTCAGGGGTTTTGGGCGATAAATTACGTTCAGATGAGCATATTTTTTATACCTTATTTGTGACACTAGCAGGACACAAATTGGCGTGGGGTCCAGGGGGCGGAGTCCCCTAAGGTCGAGGGGGTGGAGCCTCGGAAACTTAGGGGTTTTACGGTCAGATAAAAATATTTTGACACCTTATTTGTGACACTGGTAGGACACTAATTGGCGTGAGGTCCAGGGGAGGGGGCCAAAACCCCAAAAGCTCAGGGGTTTTAAGCATTAAATCACCGTCAGATTAGCATCAACGCGTCCGCTTTAGGGCCCTAGATTTGTGTCCGGGGGGCGTCATTTTTTCTGCGGCACAGATTGAGTTTTTTTTTAAAAAGAAGTCTTGATTTAACCCTAACCCTAAACTTTCCCATAGGCTCAACACGCACCTAACCCCAAGCTGTGCCGCAGAAAAAAATAACGCATCCGGGGGGTAGAGCCACTGGAAGTCAAGGGGTTTTAGGCATTTAATTACGGTCAGATGAGCATATTTTGATACCTTATTTCTGGCACTGGTAGGTCACTTATTGGTGTGGGGTCCAGGGGCAGAGCCCCTAGGAGCTCAGGGGTTTTAGACATTAAATTACCGTCGGATGAGCATCCAGATGCCTGACTTTGGGTCAAGGTGAAATCCAGCGGCAGAGCCCCCGGAAGCTCAGGGCATTTAATCACGGTCATTATGAGCAATTTTTTAATTTATTAAATTCATCATGGCTCCAACAGCTCAAGTTTCCCCTTTTTTCCCTTTTTTTGCCAGGGGTGGGGGGCCGGGGGCCCGGCCCCCCGGCCCCTGGATCCGCCACTGACCTGAACGAACATATTTCATTGAAAGTTGTATCATACCTTGTACTGTAACCACGAACACACACCTGCCAACGTTTCCTGATTCATCCGTAGCATGACAGGTAACATTGGTATCTCCAAACTGGAAGACATCACTTGATGTACGAGAGCAGATCACAGACGGACTAGGATCAGTATTGTCTGATGCCTGAGGGTTGGGGAAGCGAGAAGATGTAGGAAGACCTTGGTCCGTGGTGGAAGTTATGTCAGGGCAGTCCAAATGGGGAGGTTCACCATCTTGAAATACAAATTTTGGGACAACCAACAATAAAGTGAGTGGTGGCCTAATACATGGGGCACAAAGGTAATATAAAGATGTAAAGATGTAAAGGTGAGAAGGTCACATAAAAAAGGAGAAACGGCCAAGCTCAATGTATTAAAAAAAGGGTTAACAACCCCTGTCACATATCCTCTAAATTTGATTGTGTTCTCTTGCATTACTTAATTACCGGTGCACCCGGGGGGGGGGGGGGGGGGAGGTACTCACATATTAGGAAATGCAGGGTGTGCCGCTCTAATGGGTTTCTTTTTTCCCCAAAAAATCCCTAAACATGGGTCCCACTTCTAACCAAAAAAAAACATTAAAAGATGATCTGCAATTGATGTTTGGTCACGGCATTCCCAACTAGGGGGCTCGTTGTCTGCGGAAAACAAGACAATTAAAACTGCTTTAAGAGTTATAGTGTACGTAGCATCTTAAATCCTAAATGAATGTTAAGTTCAACTTCCTTGTTTTGCTTATTTATTCACGGTACCTGAACGAACGTATATCATTGAAAGTTGTATCATACCTTGTACTGTAACCACGAACAGACACCTGCCAATGTTTCCTGATTCATCCGTAGCATCACAGAAAACATTGGTATCTCCAAACTGGAAGACATCACTAGATGTATGAGAGCAGATCACATACGGACTAGGATCAGTATTGTCTGATGCCCGTGGGTTGATGGTGATGTGGGAGGATGTAGGAAGACCTTGGTCCGTGGTGGAAGTTACGTCAGGGCAGTCCAAACGAGGAGGGTCGTCATCTTGAAATACAAATTATGTGACATCCAAAAATAAAGTGAGTGGTGGCCTAATACATGGGGCACAAAGTTAATGTCAAGGTGTAAAGGTCACACAAAGAAGGAGAAAACGGCCAAGCTTAATGTATTTTTTGAACAAAAGTTAAACAACCCCTGTCACATTCTCTCTAAATTTGGTTGTGGTCTCTTGCATTACTCAATTACCGGTACACCCGGGGGGGGGGGGGGAGGTACTCACATATTAGGAAATGCAGGGTGTGCCGCTCTAATGGGTCACTTTTTCACCAAAAAATCCCTAAACATGGGTCCCACTTCTAACAAAAATACCATTAAAAATGGGTCCGTTTTTTTCAAAATTTTCTGGCAACCACCAGAAAAACACCAGAAAATTGTGAAAAATGGGTCTTTTTCGGGAAAAATGCCCCAATGTGACCACTAACAAAAGGTAGGGATTTCGAAGCTTGAGCGGCTCACCCCCGTCCAAACCATAACATAACGTTCTCCTATTCCCGAAAAACTCTATAACTCGGTCAGAGTGCCTACTGAATTGCTGACACAATTTTATGACATGGTTGTTGTAATTCTCTTCTTTTTGTTTGTTACATACCTGTAACGGTGACTGTGAAATCGCATGTCAAGTAGTTTCCTAGATCATCTCGTGCAGCACAGGCAACCCAAGTGTCTACATAGTCAAATACATCATGTGAAGTATACGTACAGCCCACAGAGAAGTCCTGATTGTCAGCGGAACCAGCATGCACGCGTGGAGATATGATGACAGTAGATGATGTAGTAAGACCTTTATCCGTGCTTGATACGAGGTCTGGACATTGTAGCCAGAATGTTCCTTCATTTTCATAATCAATGTAAAAATTAACATTTAAATTACAGTATACTGATTAGTTTTACCTCTTGATAACATATAGTATGAGCTCATAATTCATAATATACACACACTAGAGTTCAAAAAGAGAATTATTATTCCTTACGAAAGCAGTATGCGTGCCTAATGTATAAGTTGGCAAATATGACTTCTCTCCCCCCCCCCCTTCCCCCTCCCCCTGTCCCGTTCTCTCTGGAATCTTTGATATGATACTTTTATTGTTCAACCAGACAGTCTATCCTAGTAGGCCCTATACACAGATTCCTGCTTATCAATGTTGAATGTCATGAATCAAAGCTCTCGTATTATCAATTTGTAAAGAGGTAAGATGTTGAGCGGGCATCTCGCTATCAGCTGTTCGATACTTTTATTTTATTTTTTACTTACCATCCCCGGAGGATTCCCCGCTTCCAGAATCACCTTTTCAAATGACAATGTAAGAGAAGTGTTAAAATATATGTAACAACTAGATGGAATTTTGACTGCGCGCAGTCGAAAATAATGCCTCCGCCATAGAGCAATTTAAACAAGTTTGGAGTTTAAATCTCCAGTGGTTCTTGAGATATCATGATAACAATCTCAATGTATGGAATTTCATAAGTTGACCTCTGTGACCCTTGACCTTTGACCTACGTGCTCCAAAATCTAATCACAGTGTCTTCCTATGGTGATACACACTATCATTAAGTTTGAAGTTTAAATCTCCAGTGGTTCTTGAGATATTATGATATGGTGATACATACTATCATTAAGTTTGAAGTTTTTACATCTCCAGTGGTTCTTGAGATATCATGATAACAATCTCAATGTATGGAATTTCATAAGTTGACCTCTGTGACCCTTGACCTTTGACATACGTGCTCCAAAATCTAATCAGATCGTCTTCCTATGGTGATACATACTATCCTTAAGTTTGAAGTTTAAATCTCAAATGGTTCTTGAGATATCGCGCTAACAAACTCAATACAAGGAATTTCATAAGTTGACCTCTGTGACCTGTGACCTTTGACCTACGTACTCCAAAATCTAATCAGATCGTCTTCCTATGGTGATAAATACTATTCCCGAGTCTTAAGTTTAAATCTTAAATGGTTCTTGAGATATTGTGATAACGGTCAAACGGGACGGACGGACGTACGGACGGACGTACGGACGGACAACCCGAAAACATGATGCCTCCGGCACCACCTTCGGTGGCGGAGGCATAAAACCCAAATAGGTGAACCAAGCCAAAACAATAAAACTATGATTCGAAAAAAATATATATATTGTCATTCTTTAAGATAGCAGTATGCGTGCCTGATGTATTAGTTGGCCAATGTGACTTCTTCCCGCCCCTCCCCCCTGTCCTATTCTTTCTGGAATCTTTGATATTTATATAATTTATGGCTCCGACTAGACACGTCTTTCCTATCACAGATTCATGCTTATCACTGTTGGATTATCATGAATCAAAGCTCTTGTATCATCAATGTGTTAAAAGGTAAGATGTTGAGCGGGCTTCTTGCTATCAGTAATTCGATTCGATTTTCGAATCATTTTCTATTTACTTACCATCCCCGGACGATTCTCCGCTTCCAGAATCATCTGTTCACATTACAATGAAAGAGAAGTGTTAAAATATAGGTGAACCAAGCTAAAACAAGTATCAGACTATGATTCGAAGAAATATATACAGTGCGTCCCAGAAAAAACGAAACCGAGAATGATCGATGTTTTATCATAGTTTCATCACAATTATAATTAAATAAATGACACATATTTGTAAAACTTAGATCCTCTTCTTTCAGTTGATGCAACTCATATGATGCATATAATTATTTCACGCATGAGTGATTAAAAACAATTTAAAGATAGGGTACCAACAAGTCATGTTTAGGGCGGTATCAGAATTTCAAAGAGAAAAATCACATTTCTAGAAAGTTCATTTTCTGCCCTTTCATAATTATGACACCTCAATCAGGAAAAATGAGCCAGGAATAACAAATTTCTGTTTGTTTAAAGTATTTGCTTGCATTTCCATCATTTGATTCAACAAATTCGTTTTTACTGGCTGCCTGCCGTAGCAACAAACGGAGTTAACAAAAGACTTAACTCATTTATATAATCATACGTTTATGGCTAAACTAGACAAGTCTATCCTATAGAACACAGATTCCTGCTGATCACTGTTGAATGTCATGATATCAAAGCTCTTGTATCATCAATTTGTTAAAAGGTAAGATGTTGAGCGGGCATTTCACTATCAGCTATTCGATTATCTTGTTCTCTTTTTACTTACCATTCCAGGATGATGCCGAGCTTACAGAATCATCTGTTCAAATGAAACGTAGGTATTGAAATATATGTAACAAATCAACGCAAAGCGTAGCATCCTTTCGCAAGCTTAGTACAAATGGCCTATATACGTCAGAACAAGTTACCTCCATTAGACTATTATATTATATTAATAGGCAAGGAAGTTGACCAATTTTCAAATGTATAATTATTTTTTTTTGCATATTTAATGAGCTATGACCTTTCACCGAAATCCAACTTAGGCTGTATTTTAATATCATGTACCTTCATATTAAATTTCAATAAAATTCGTCAAACATTACTAAAGTTATCGAATGGAAACCAGATTCGCATATTTAATGAGCTATGACCTTTGACCTACAAACTCCGAAATCGAACTTAGGCTGTGCTTTGAAAATACCATGTACCTTCATATCAAATTTCATTAAAATCCGTCAAACATTACTAAAGTTATCGATCGGAAACCAGATTTGTATTTTTCGCATATTTAATGAGCTATGACCTTTGACCTACATACTCCGAAACCGAACTTAGCCTGTATTTTGATACCATATCCTTCATATCAAATTTGACTAAAATCCTTCAAACATTACTGAAGTTATCGATCGGAATCCAAATTTGTGACGGACGGACGGACGGACGCGACGGAAGGAAGGACGGACGGCAGCGTTACTATGCTGCTATGCTTATACATGCATTTGTTTTTATCTCGATTAGATATTGGCAATGCTCTTCTTTTCAATATTACTTCACGCAATCTTGACAAACTTCAACATGCTCAGAATGCATCTGCCAGGGTTTTATCAGGGACATCTAAATATGATCACATTTCTCCTGTTCTCAAAAAGCTGCACTGGTTACCAATCTGCAAGCGCATATAATTCAAAATCCTGGAAGACTGTAAATAGTTTGGCACCAAACTATTTACAAGACCTTGTTATGCCTTATACACCAGCTCGTAGTCTAAGATCATCACATCAGCATCTTCTTAAGATCCTCAAGACACGGGTAGCCTGTACTGTGGTGAGAGGGCCTTTTCAGCTGCAGCACCTTCTCTTTGGAATAATTTACCATTTAATTTGAGAATCATAACTTCCTTAGAGACCTTTAAAGCTTATCTGCCATAGTTTACAGGAGGGATTAGACCACCCTACACGGTCACTGGACATGTGGTTATCTCATCAACTCAGCTCTCAGTTAACATAAGAAAAAGAGGATCATGGGGGACCAATGGTCACCGATTAAGCATTGTTTGTTATATAGAGGGCGCAAGTAGCTACAAGTAGTGCAGTGGGCCTTTAAATCCAAGCTGAAATCTTATCTTTTTTAACAACACCTGTACTTGGCACTCATCCAAACTCCCCATTCTTTCTATTTTTCTTGTGCGCCTCGGAATAGCAAATGATAGACGGCGCTATATATAAATAATAATAATAATAATAGGCATTTATATAGCGCCGTCTATCATTTGCTAGTCGGCGAGGGGATTACAAAAACCTAAGTAGGTGAACTGAGCAAAACAAATATGTCTTACATTGTTTAAAAATTATCTTCAGATATGTATCATGTATAGTTTTGTTCACATTTGTTCAAACTATAAGAGCAGTACACATTTGCATATTGATAGATTTAAGGACTATTATATTCGTTTCACATTATACCTGGGATAAGAACCAAGCAGGCAGCACCGGCATCTTCGCCATGAGCACAGTCAAAAGGTTCAGGTCTATCGTGGAAACATGTTCCCAAGTTGATTTCTGTCCCAATACAATCCACATTACGGAGTGAGATGTCTCCTACCCCTTCACCGTATGTAGCTTGCACAGGTGCATATGCTGCACCGAAGAACCCCAGCATTCTGCATACAACATTAGCGTCTTTTGCATCCCAGCCATCGTCACAGATAGTTCCCCAAGATCCATTTTCTTGCACTTCAACTCTTCCCGAGTTGTTATTTGGACCATCGACAAGACGAACATCAAGAGAGATAGGATCTGAAATACAATGATATATTATGAATTCAGGTTTTGAGTATGGAAGAGAACAAGGGTATCACTATCAGACAAAGACGCAGATATAAAAGAAGAGAAACGATTAGATAGAGTAAGAGCGAGAGAGAGAGAGAGAGAGAGGGGGGGGGGGAGAGAGAAAGGAAAGGGAAGAAGTGAGATGAGGAGTGAAAAGAGGGATATGGAGAAGTCATATAATGGAGAAAAAAAACAAGACTTACGTAATACATATAAAGACTTTTCGAATTTCACAAACAGGGTTACATCATACCTGTACAGATGACACCAGCATCTTCGCTGTGATCACAATTATTGACTCCAAATTCACTCTTGATGCAGTCTTCGAGGCTAATTTCTGATCCAGTACATTCAACTTCATCAAGAAGAATGTCTCCAGAACCCGGACCATATTCAGCCCTGACTGGTGCACTTGACGCTTTGAAGAACCCTAGCATTCTGCATACGACATTGGCGTCGTTCAAATCCCATCCATCATCACATACTGTTCCCCAAGCACCGTTGTACCATACCTCGACTCGACCTGTAGCATTGTTTGGTCCATCAACCACACGAACGTCAAGATGGCTCCCTACATCGGGAGTAAGGGAGGACATTTTAATAGAGGTTCGTTGACTTTTGTGTGTGCTCAAGTCAAGTGTAATTAACTACGGTTGCCAAGCCCCCTCATGTCTTGACGAGTTTTTTCCCGATATGTGGATTTAAAAAAAAATCATTATCATTGCCAAACAATTCTGATATCGTTAAAGTCTCTGTTTATCCGATCAATTTTTGTAGCTGTTTCATTTCTTATTCCAAGCTAGCATTACCACCCAGACATAAACCCCAGTACTATCTCTTATCGGCTTTGTGCCCCGTTCCTTCAATTTCCGGGCTGATGCGGCAGGATAACATTGGCTATAAATATATCACAACTTGTCAAATGTTCCAAGGGAGTGGGGATGACATTAATGAAGATAAATGGGTAATGTAGATAAATAAAAATATAATGGCGATTCATAATGATGTAAGAGAGAAAGTCTGTGAAATAAATATTGACATTTTATACAAAATGAGTAGAATTATAGTTTACTACAATTTTTTTAATTTAAAGAGGGAAAATTCTTACCAATGTTTGTTGTACTCGGGATCCAAATGTGAGGTCGGATAGCTGTCCAATCTATAGTCGAAATATTGAAATGTTAAACAACAGTCGTAATGTCTAGCTAAGTGTATCATTTCATATTGTGGCATAAGTTCTAAATTAAAAGCGATAATAAACCTGGTTTTATTGTATGAATAGATAAGATTCGACTGGGGAGGCGTAATTTCATTTTAAACCCCTAATTGGGACATACAGAATCCCCGTCGTTAATTTGTTTTAAGAGTAAGCTTAAACAGTTGTTTTTAAATTCATATGACCAAATTTTACTTTGAAATTCAATTAATATGATATTCTATACATTGTACATTCCGGCCTTCTCCTATACTTATGTTCTTATGCATGCGCGCCTGTTCTCGGGGGCCCTCGGGCATTACGTGCTTGCCTAGATGTGCCGCGTCCTTGTTTTTCTTGCTGGGGTCGTCGGCATGAATCGGTCATTGCTATGGCACGCCACAGCCGTCATAATTTATGGCACGCCACAGCCGTCATAATTGGTCGAGTTTACAAAAAAGCGGTCGACTTTACAAAAAAGCAATCGAGTTTACAAAAAAGCAATCGACTTCACAAAAAAGCAAACGAGTTTACAAAAAGGCAGTCGAGTTTCCAAAAAAGCAGTCGAGAAAGAAAAAAAAACAGTCGAGAAAAAAAAAAGCAGTCGAGAAAAAAAAAAAGCAGTCGAGAAAAAAAAAAAAGCAGTCGAGAAAAAAAAAAAAGCAGTCGTGCAGGTGATACTGCGGGGAGGCATGGGGCGTGGAGCGGGTGAATGCGTTTGCGTGCCTTGGGGCTCTCTGGGAGCAGACGTGCGTGGATTCGAATGCATTTTGGAAACAGGATTGTGTCTGGGCTACGGTCTACATTATTGTATACACTACTGTAACATGATTGTTCATGTCTACTGCCTCGCACGGGTGACCTCGTTCAATGACCTAACGACCTCAATATTTTAAAGTGACTATTGTCTCATCTCTTTGTTAACAAATTAATTTGCTTGCTGTATTTGCTATTTTTGCTATTTTTGCTTGTTTCACGTTGTATAATCATCTTATGTTAAGGCTTCTTGCCCACCTATTATTACTGTTACGTCCTCTACCATTACAACTACTTCAATCAAATGTTAGTTTTATTTATGGGAACCTATAATCTACAAGCTAAGCTTTTTAATAGGTTCCTCACATTTCACTCTGTATTTCATTACAATTAATTTCGACGTCTTTTCAAAGAATTAATTATATAATGTGACACTTTTAGTATATTTCATATTATGTTCTATTTTTGTCAGTTATGTAAATTCTTTTTATTTGTGAAATGTGAAATAAACTTGAAACTATGCCAAGTTTGAAAAAAATAAATAAATATGGCACTCTCTCTTGTTAAATATATGTGTAGTAGTAGAGAAGTGTAATGTCTTGACACTCTTGGCCAACTCTATCTAAACGTTACTGGCGGGCAGCCTGGCACCAAACCTAATTAACCTTTAATGGTCACAATGGGCAATAAATGTCATAATAGTCTCTACACCTGTCATGTATATATATCTCTCAATGTTATAAAGCTTAGATCCTCCTCTTTCATTTGATCCAACTCATATGGTGCATATTTCACGCATGAGTGATTAAAAGCAATTTGAAGAGAGGAAACCAAAAGTCATTTGGCGGGCGGTATCTGAATTTCAAGGAGAAAATCACATTTCTAGAAAGTTCAATTTCCGCCCTTTCATATGACACCTCAATCAGGAAAAATGAGCCAGGAATAACAAAGTTCTGTTTGTTTGATTTGGTTAAACGAGTTCGTTTTCACTGGCTGCCTGCCGTAGCAACACAAAGAGTTGACAAAAGACTTAACTCCGTTATGTTGACGATCAGCCATGCTCAAAGAATACGAAAGACTAGATTCATGCTGATCATCAACGAAACGGAGTTAAGTCTTTTGTAAACTTTGTTTGTATATATTTTTCAATTCAACAACACCACCCCCCCCCCCCCATTGAGCAAAAAAAATGCATACGATCTCCCTCGAAGCAGTTCCCCAAAGTTGACAGCCCTGTCTTAGTCTTTGTGAAATATCCCCCTGGATTGAAATGTTACTGAGGAGGAGGGGGGGGGGGGGGGCAATATTTTGTTATTTGTTTGATATGTACTTTCCATCCTCTATCCTGGTGACAGTGAAGTAATCCGCCCAAGTTTATCCTTTTAATCAGGTTTAATTACCCCCCCCCCCCCAACTCTGACCTTTGTTCTATACTTTTAGTTCGGGTCAATATAATTATGGTCCGGCCGCGCCCGCGCCCCAGTACTATTCTGTCGATAGTTACGCATGCGTATTGTCATTTTTTCATGGCGATATTATGCTTATAATAAGTAGAAAAGAGCTCATGAGCATTCAAAGATTTAATTTACACATTTTCAGGGGCGGATTTACGGGGGGGATAACCCCCCCCCCCCCCCCTTGGGCGACCCCCCCCCCCCCAAAAAAAAAAGTCAAACACTTTTTTTTTTTTTTTTTAAATGTCGGAGGCAAAATGATTTTTTTTTTTAGGGGGCCAAATGAAAAAAAATATAGTGCTCATTACCCCCCTCCCCCCCCCCCCCCCCCCCCCCCCTCAGAGCAATATAAGTGTAATTTCTTTTTCCTTATATTTTTTCCCGTTGACAAAGAAAAAAATAAGGGCGGGGATGGATGTTGAGTTTTTTTTTTTAATCGTGCTCCTTACCCCCCCCCCCCCCCCTCCCCGGTTATTCACCGGCTGGCTGAGGCGGCGCTAAATATTTTCTCACGAATTTGCCCCCCCCCCCCCTCCCCCCTTTTGCCGCCGGCTGGTTCCGCCTCTGGACTTGAACACAACATATCTCTTTCCGTTAAACATTCCTCTTGTAAACGAGACTGTTGATTGTAGAATCAAGATAATCAATACAAAAAGCTTTGGGAGTGTTGTGAGCATGTGAGAAGTTTCACATTTACTTTTACGGGATAGACTTTGAACTTGTAACAGACAATATAAATCCGCTAGAGGCATTATATGATACACAATCGCGGCCTGCGGTGTACTCAGATACTGTATTACACTTACACCATAGTGCACCGCCCAGGGAAACACAACATTGCAAATGCTCTTTCACGTCTCACTATGACATCTACTAAGGGTAACAGAACAGTATAATTTGTTCAAAAGAATCCACACCAAACGCGATGACAACCCAAGAGGTTAAAAAGGCTTCAGAGAGGTATAGAATTGATAGCGGTTAGAAGATTCTTAGATGAAGGAGATATATTGTCATGTTAACATGCACACATAAATGTTGTATGTCATAGTTGATATGTAAAGGGTTAATAGTGCTTGATAAGTTGACACCATGCAGACTTAAACCGAAAGTATTTAAACATTAAATGGTCGGAAAATAAACACTCGTGATAGAGAACCGATACTAATTACAGCATAATGTACCATTATAGTTTGTTCAAAAGATACTCATTGTTTAAAAGAAAAGAGGAAAAAAGGGAGGATTAGAAGGGTTTACAATTTCAGTAAATGCCAACAGTAAGGTGAAAAAAAACCTTTGAATAGAGTGTTGAAACTCATTATTAGTATTATGTTCATGTATAGACGAGACCACTTATAATCAAGTCTTGTATCTTGAAGAAAAGTGCCAAGTGATTGTACACATGTATTTTACTGAATGTTTAATCTAAAGAGGGGAGGAGACCAACTGTAAATGTTAATGGCGGGCAGCCTGGCACAAACCCTAATCCTTTAATGTTCATAATGGGCAATAATAAGTGTCATAATAGTGTCTACACCTGTCATGTATATATATAACTCTCAATGTTATAGAGAGCACCCTGTTTGTAAGGCAGTCTGGATTGAACCTCAATAAAGTAAAGACAAAACTTTCACATCCATCTCAAACTATAGCATTACTCTGTAAAGTGTGGCTTGAATGCTTGAATGCTGTCACATGAGTGAGAATGCTACAAGAAGGTATGCTAACAATGGAACTACCATTAAAACTAATACGCCTTTTATGATATACTTACCTATGTCAATTACACTCGAGCTCCCTGTGTCATAGTCCTCTTGATCTGAATCTATATTTAATACACCATTAATATGTGGCAGAAGAATGATGGACAATATCAATCGAAACGAAACAATGTCCCAATTAGCCATTGTTGGATTACGAGGAGAGACAGAGAATATGCTGTATGTAGTGATCGGGCTGTGAGCATTGTGTCTCATTCAGGGTCGAAGGGTTTTACCCACATCACATTGAACATCATGCGATACACACAGAAACATGACTCCCTACTCCCTATACTGTATCTGTATACATCATAATAATGAACCTGAAAGTGAAACAATGCTCACAGCGTATAAATCCACCAGTATTATTTTATCCATGGAAATCCACCAGTACATTAAAATATACCATGAGAAATAAAGCTAGATAACACTATGACCGACAAAATTGATATTGTCTAGACAACAGTCAGAAAACATTAGAATTAGAATGAATAAGACATAATGCGTCGATTGCTGCTTTTTATAATGACAGCCAGTAGCGAATAAATATATTTCGGGACTCATAACAAATTTGTTAAACAGTTGATTCCACTCGGTTATTTTCACTGTTCGCAGGAATAAGTAGAGAGGGGTAGAAGTGATCTTCCCCACCATTGATGATGATGTAATATTATTATTCTTATTTGTTTATCATCCCACAATGCTATTTGAATAAACAAAATGTCTTAGTGTCAGGCTTCCTGGGAGAAGTTTCAATTGTTGTTTGAAATTTCTTGCTTGCACTCATTAGATCTCACTGGTTCTAAGATTCTTTTTTGACCTGTTTTCAATTACAAGATCGAGCACGCGATCTTAAAGGGACAATTGAATTCTTGTTTAAGACCGCAAAATGCCTTTAAAGTACATGGTTATTGCTCTTATTCTTATTTATGACATTTCTAGTGCCCTTCTAGGACCTAAAATTGCTATGAAGGTAATTTAAGACCCCCAAATGTGTGAAATTATATTAAATCCGATCATACCAATTTAGCTCCACTTTATATTAAAAAAAAATACGGTGACCGTTTATTAATTAATTAATTAATTAATAATAATAATACACATATGTGTCCTCTATATTGTCAACGAAACGGAGTTAAGTCTTTTGTCAACTCAGTTTGTTGCTACGGCAGGCAGCCAGTGAAAACGAACTCGTTTAATCAAATTATGGAAATGCAAGAATTACTTTAAACAAACAGAACTTTGTTATTCCTGGCTCATTTTTCCTGATTGAGGTGTCACATGAAAGGGCAGAACCTCAACTTTCTAGAAATGCGATTTTCTCCTTGAAATTCAGATACCGCCCGCCAAATGACTGTTTGGTTTCCTCTCTTCAAATTCATTTTAATCACTCATGCGTGAAATATGCATCATATGAGTTGCATCGAATGAAAGAGGAGGATTTTCGCTTTACAAATATGTGTCATATATTAATTATAATTGTGATTAAGTTATGATAAAACTTCGATAATTCTCGGTTTTGTTTTTTCTGGGACGCACTGTATATCACTATATGTGTGTGTGTGTGTGTGTCTGTCTGTCTGTCTCTCTCTCTCTCTCTCTCCCCTCCCTATCTATCAACGCTCTCCAAACACTTTTTTGTTGAAACTTAATATTTACATCAATATACTTTGGGACGTAGGGTCTATATAGCTACATTTAATAATACTTTATTTACTTTATTTACACATAATCTATAAAGATGTAAATCAACAAATTATATTTAAACCAAAAGAATACTTGCAATTCTTACTACGCATACATATACGGCAAATAAGCCTTTGAGATAACAGTAACAATTCAACTATTCTGATTAAATCTGCATTAAAAAAACATGATTTTCAAACGAGGAATGGGGGAAGTATAACAAATCAAGGTGAATTTCTCTGAATTTATTTTGGCAAAATATCTTTTAGGATAAGAGGGATGCAAGAATTTCCACATTCAATAAACTAAATAAGGGTGCCATACAGGGGCGGATCCAGCCGGTGGCAAGGGAGGGGGCCCAATTCGTGAGAAAATATTTAGCGGTGAAACAGCCGGCCGAAAATTCGCTCAGTGGGGGGGGGGGGGGGGGGGGGGGGGACGTGAGCACTAATTTGTCTTTTTTTGGCCCTCGAAAATTTGAAAAAATGCACCCCCCCCCCCTTGAGCGCCAGGGGTGGGGGCCATCTCCAAAAAAAGGTTAAATTAACGTGTTTTTACATTTTTTCCCCTTGGATCCGCCACTGGTGCCATACACCCCAGATCCCTCTTGCACCCCTCTCTCCTCCCTACTAGTGTATCGCGATCTCTGACTTACGGGGCCAAGTCGATCCAGGTCCTCCGGTCCGGACTCGACCTACTCTCAACCCACTTTGTCTTGTACTGGCTTATAAAGAGGTACAGTTGCCCCGCATTATAACAAGCACATATATAACAAACGCTCGTTGAAAACAAGATACAAATAAAAACATTTAAGAATCCGTTTGAATTCCTTTATGTTGTATTTTTTTAGGACAGTGATATAACAACGTTTACTATGAGGAAGCAGACTAGCTAGCGCTCAGTTCAGAACTCATATTCGTCTTATAACATAGTGAAAGTTGGCGAGTGGAATATAAAACCAAGGCACATATTTGATGAAAAAAATGTTTTGTACAAATCGTCCAATACTGATAATGGTCATGATTAGACCTAATAACTTATACCATCTGCTTATCCTAGATGAGATCACTAAATAAAATTATGTAAATCTAATTCTGTTAAATTGGTCATCAGACAATGAAGCATTTAGAAACGAATCTGTTCCATTATCATGCTTATATTGTACACCTGTACTCACTTTAAAAGTAGTACCGCACAGTGGTAAACATGCAGCAATAAGCTAAAATTGAAGCCGAAACTAAAATCACTGGATACCGAAATATACATTTCTTTTTGCTCCTTGGACTGTTCACAAAAATGATGGATATGATATATTTATATATTTTACGTCAATATTGCTCTGCTAAAAAAACAAAAACAACAACAACATCATATTTGAGTAATTCCGAGTGTAGGAGCAAAATTGTAAGGCTGTTAAAAATACATCAGAATGCCATTAACCAATTGGCCGATTTGAAATATGCATGATTTATAGTGAACTCATCTTTAAAAATAATAAATCTCTTATTCGATCAAACTTTTTCAAAAATCTGTTTCTCTGATTTTCAAACTTTCATTTAAAGCAACTGCTTTCAAGGTTATATTTTTTTAAATAAAAGATCGAACTTTAAATAAAATAATCAAGATAATAAATAAGAAAATCATTGATAGACAAGAACATCACTGAATGACACATAATTTTGAAACCGACTGTCCGCCATGTTTGACGATTCCACTTCGGAAGACTTCGGATCTGCCTCGTTTGTTCGTGACCATGAGCGCAATGGTGAGATACTCGGAGAAATCCACAGTATCATTATTATCACTATCAATCTCACCCATCGCTTCCTGTTCAAATAAAGAACAAAAGAAAAGATATATATCAGATGTCAGCATGGGAAACAATGATATAGAACGTTTATTCCCTTTCATAATTCCAAGCCCTGCTTTCAATTTCTCTGTTTAGTCGTTTGCTTTTGCGATGGTGTCGAAGGACCTTCGCGGGGGAGATCGAGGGGGGCGTGCAGGGTATATGCCCCTCCCCCTTACAACCCATATGTGTGTGTGGGGTTGTTTCTACTCTCCAAAGAACCCCCCCCCCCCCTCAAAAAAAAAAAAAAGAAGAAAAGTGTTCCTCTTCCAAATATATGTTACCCCCCCCCCCCCCCCCCCCTCCCCCATATAAAACACTGGGGGAAATTGATGATTTGTTTGTGGCTGTTTTTGCTTGGTACAGACTTTTCGTAAGTGACCATCCTTTTCTAACATTTAAACACATTTATTGATGAGCCCTTGGATCGGCTTACCTTGACTTGGGCTGGAGAATAAAAGTTCCCAACGGTTGACTGAATAGCTCGAACCACTTCCGTGAAGTCTAGTAAAAGATCACCACTCGTATCATACCGTCTGAAATGATCGTAATGGTCCTTGATCTGGACACAAATAGAAGGAAAAAAGGAAATGTATAAATAAGTTGTGAAGAATCTGAAAGGTTACTTTTATCCCCCGCGCGCTTTCATCTACATGACAGATGAAACCATTTTATTGCATGATGTCACAGCATACTTTATTGTTTTGCTTAAATGTTGATAGAATGATTGCGTGGCTGTTTCATTGAAATAAAACATAACGTTCAATAGAAGACTCAAACGACGGCAACCGTTTTCGATGCAATTTTAAAAAAATCATTCTCTGTAAAGCAAAACGTTTTACTTTATATCATACTGGTTTTCGTACCAGCAGAACTGACCAAGACTTTACGAAATTAGCCAAATATGAGATTGATCTTACCTGTGTTTCGGTAAGCTCTGGAAATTGTTTTAATGCCAATTCGATGTCCAGATGGGCATTGCTAAAGTCGACTAGGTCTGGATGTGCTGCAAATAAATAAATGAAACCAATACTATTATTATTATTATTATATCATGCATACTGAGTTATTTTACATTTTGTTTGTAAAGGGGTAGATGTAGCATTGTTCGAATTGTTTTCTCGACATGGGTATATTTTATAACCATAACCAAGGGCGTAACTAGGGGGGTGGGGGTTTAGAATTTTAAAGACACCCATTATCTGTTTTTTTCTTCTTCTAAGCACTCTTTTTTTTTGGTGCTCAGGAGGCCCGGGGGTGGGGTGCATGTTGTGGATTTTTTTTTAAATAGGGCTCCTTATCCCCTCTCCCCTCCCCCTTATTCACCGGCTGGCTGATTCGCCGTTAACTATTTTCTCACGAATTGGGTGAAAAACACCTCCCCTTAAAAAATCCTGGATACGCCCTTGACCATGCCTGGATATAAAGTTTTAAACGCGTTTGTTTAGAAAGAGATGGATCAAATACGATTTCATGGTTCTAGGACAATTACTCCCTGGGCAATCAGTCCCCCCCCCCGGAAATTACCAGCGGGGCATTACCCCCCCCCCAAGACAACCACCCCCGAGGACAATTAAACCCCAGAAAATTACCCTCTAGATCAATACCCCCCTAGGACAATCACCCCCCCCCCCCCCCACGCGGAAAATTACACCCGAAAGAATTCTACTTTAATAAAATCAACTTACTCTCGGGGGACTTCTCCTTTATGAACAGGGGGAAGTCATTTTCGAGGGGGAGGGGGGGGGGGGGGGTAATTGTCCTCGGGATGGTTATCCTTGGGGGGGGGGGGTAATTGTTCTAGGGGTAATTTTTAGGGGTGGGGGTATTTGCCCTCGGGGTGGGAGGGTGTTGTCCACGGGGGTTAATTGTCCTTGCGGTGGTTGTCTTTGGGGAATTTTCCGGGGGTTATTGTCGTGATATGGCCTCTCATAATGTCATGCACACTTTTTTTAACTCTTGTTACGCAGGGGTGAAGCTAGGATTGTCAGAAAGGGGGCTGAAATGCCATAGGACGTTTCATTCAAAATGACGACCTTTATTCAATCAGCACTGAAAGTCTTTAAGAGTTATAAAAAGGGTTGGTCTTCCCGTGAGCACACCGTCCTCGT